CTACAGGTGCCCACAGGGGCCAGAGAACCCCTCAGAGCAGGAATTACAGGTAGTTGTGAGCTTCCCATTATGTGCGCTGGGAATCAAACTTGGAACCTCTGGAAGAACAGCAAGCACTCTTAACCTCTGAGCCTTCTTTTCAGCCCCAGGGTGTAAAATATTGTTCAGTTTTTCAAATTATACCACATATCCTAACATAGTCTAGGATTATTTTTTTATTTTTTATTTTTTGGGGGGTGCCTGGGCAGTACTAAAATTATGCCTAGAGCTTTGTGCATGCTGGTCAAGTTTGTCCATCCTTTTACTTTTTTTTTTTTTTTTTTTAAAGACAGGGTCTTAGGCTGTTGAGATGGCTCAGTGGGCAAAGGAGCTTGTACCCAAATTTGATGACCTGAGTTCAATCCCTGGGACTCAACTCCTACAAGTTGTTCAAAGACACACACAATTTAAAGGGGAAAGGGGGGCTAGAGAGATGGCTCAGAAGTTAAGAGCATTGGTTGCTTTTCCAGAGATACTGAGTTCAATTCCCAGCAACCACATGGTGGCTCACAACCATCTGTAATGAGATATGGTGCCCTCTTCTGACTTGCAGATAGAACCCTGTATACATAATAAATATATATATATTTTTAAAGACAGGGTCTTACTAAATTATCCAGGCTGGCCCTGAACCTACAATCTTCCCCCTAAGTAGCTGATTTCAAGGTGTGAGCCACTAGGTCAGATAGATAAAAACTTAGCATTTATTGTAAACCCCCACTGTGGTTGGGGGTGAGGGAGACCACAGAATTTGGGAGCTTCACTTTTCATATAAATGATGGGGAAAGTGCCTACATTGGGCATACAGTAAGTAACAAGGAAGGTTTTTTTTTTTTTTTTTTTAAATCTATCTTACACTTGTTTTGGAAGACTTACTAAATCCTTGATGTTTTACTTAACCACATTAGTCTGTTTTTACGTTTGAGTTTTTCATGATGAGTTTCCTCTCAAGAAAAGTGTGTATATATATATATATATTTTTTTTTTTTCTTTTTCTTTTTTTTTTCTTCTTGGTTTTTTGAGACAGGGTTTCTCTGTATTGTTTTGGAGGCTGTCCTGGAACTCAATCTATCTATAGACCAGGCTGGCCTCGAACTGACAGAGATCCGCCTGCCTCTGCATCCCGAGTGCTGGGATTAAAGACATGCGCCATCAATGCCCCGCTGAAAAGTATATTCTTGAACCATGGAGTTTTCCAAAGCAACTTTTCTCCTTGTAAAGGAATATCAAAATGTCTTGCCACATATATGAACCATCACCAAGGCATGAATACATTAATACCCCAGACAGGCGAAAGTAATTTACTCAGTGCTGAACTTACAGTCAGCTGACCCAGCATATGCAAATTAAAAGGGAACAAAGACACTTCGAAGTATTTGTCTGTGCAGTGCTAGGGTAGAATGTTAGATATCAGCAAGCCTTCAAACTGCTCATGGACACAGTGATATATCCCTCCCTACGGGCTTAGGACAATCACAGGGCTTTGCAAAGTGGTATTAGGAGAAAACACTTGGCTGATTTCATCATTTTCTACTAAAAGTAGAACACATTTTAAGAACTTGTAAACCTGTTTAAGATTTGTATTATAGTCACAGATAAGCTAATTAAAATGAGTTACTCTGCTTTCTGATGGAGGATGTACTTCCTTTTCTGTCTACCCTCAATAACTTGCTCTTCATTCTTGAAACCTGTGTTTTGTTTCTGCCCATTATGCCAAACCTGAGGACATGGTAAGAATTCTTTGACAACCAGCCTGAGGGATGTGGGGCATATGCCAGGCTGCAACTGGGTAATGCACACTGCATTCCACCCTGACTGGAGGAGCTTTCTTCCTTGAACTGGTAGCCCTATCCTCCTAAGCAAGAAATCAGGGCTTGTACGAGTCGTCTTCATTCTGCTCAGAACATTTGAACACAGCTTTAACAGAACCACCAAACCTGGCTAATCCAAATCACTTTGCAAACTCTTGTTTTTATTTGGATTAAAAAGCTTTGATGAACAAACATATGATACATACACGGTATAGAACCAGTTACCACTTAAACTTCAGATAATGATAGAGTACAGAAAATAGAATGAACCACTCTTTAATCAGGCCTGGAAACCAATGTTCAAGCTGAAAGTTATAACATCAATTTGGGGATTTTACACAAGTGTCCCTCACTCCCACCCCAGTTCAGAAGGAGAAGGCAGATTTAGTAAAACCAAGGTCTTTTAAATCAGTTGGCTGACATTTTAAACCTATAGGTCCCCCAACTCAATATAAACAAAACTCTTCATAGGAACTTACATTTTGAAAACAATTAGGTCATTATATTTCTTAAGCCACATTACTACAGTTCTTAAGTCACGAGAAAGTGTATTGTTTACTTGTACTGCCTTAAGTCAAGCTTTTTCTTTTTTTGAAGATGACTGATCTCAAATCCTATATCCTAAGTAATAACTGGTATTCTCTAAAAGCATGATTCTAAAATAAATAGTATCTTAATGGTTTTAATTAACTAATTAATTGTTTTTTAAACTTCATCAGGGCCTGCTTTAGTGACACCCTGTGCTGGATTTCTACTATAAGGGAACCTGGGCTGGCTCTTGGTTCCTCCAGCACTAATGCACTGGGGAGGAGCCAGCAGGAGGAGTGCTCTGGCTTCTAGTGCCCCTGGTTGCTGACAGTGAAGGGTTTTTAGAGGCTCCTAGGGAGCTGCATCTAAACCTTTAACAAGAGAAATAAAATGAGTTCATGAAATAAATAATTTAACCAAAATGAAGTTTCTGGTTCTTTGGTGTAATTCAAGGGTACCTAAAAAGAAAAGAACCTGATTACATTTCATAGTTCATGATGAGTCAAGGGTCCAAATGACCAGGAATCAAATATTTAATTCAGTTTAGCAATAAGGTACTGGCATAATCTGCAGTACATTTTTTAAAATTTAAAATTCTTTAAAATACTTGATGAAAACTTAGATGTAGTGGTTGACTATTGGCATTAAGTCACAAGGGTTCCTGGATTTAAAGCAGATACCGGGGACTTCTTTGCATTATATACTCTCATGATTTATTAAGCATGGCAATTAAACACGAGTACTGATTCATTATATTTTAAAGGAAAAGATTGTCTTTTGACAATCATTCTCAGTGAACAGTGGCAGCATCAGCATAACACAACCATCCTATTAGAATAAAGCAGGTTTAAAAAACAGACCACCATGTGAAATGCTGCCACCTGAACATCGTACACTGCCTCAGAATGTTTATTCTAGGGCTGTGTTAGAAAGACAGGGTTGCAGTGGCTGAGCATTATAGCACCGCCTTTAATCCCAGCACTTGGGAGGAAGAGGATGGCAGGTGTTGAGTTTGGGGCTATCGTGGTCTACACAATGATTTCCAGTCCAGCCAAAGTACATAGTGGGACCATGTCTCAAAAAAAGAAAAGAAAGAAAGACAAGGTCACCAAGTCCAAGTGTTTGGGATCTGTAATAGTTTGTTTTGTGAACATTTTTAGACCGCTCGGCCATCCTGACAGTACTTGTGAACATTTTCTTAAAGTATAATTCCTTTTCCCATAATCCAAAGCACAAGCTGAATTCAAAAATATTTTAAAAAGTATTACTTCTGGTTGAGAATTCTAACCCTGAAACAAACGAAATACCATAACTGATAACAGAGAAATAAAGAATCCAGAGCATCTGCATATGTAGGCAGTCTACCCTTGCACAGTTACATGCAAGACAAAGCTTGTGTCCATTTAGACTCTTTCTTAGGTAGGGTATTATGCTTAATAAACCACCTCCATATGTACTTCAGTACTTTCTTCAATTTTTTTCAAGGCAACAGATGTAAAGTTTCAAATCATATAACATGAAGGCATAAACAGATCATAAGTACTCAAACTTACCTTCCAAAACTAAATATAAGTCAGATCTGGGCACATGGTCTGCAAAAGTCACTGACAATACAGATGTTAAACTCAGCACAAAGTTATTTTTTTCCTTCAGTTACACTGGCTGTGGATGGATACACAGCACTGACTTTAGATTTCTATAGTGAGCTTCTGTGTTAATACAGCAAATATGTTAAGTCTGTCACACACCTATCGTCTATAAACAACCTTTCACAGCACTTTGCAGATATTTAGGCATGTGAAACATACATATACACTCCTCTAAGATGTAAACTAGGACCAAATTCACATTTCATTGTCAATTTAAACTAATTTGTAAACTCTGTTTTTTTTTTTAAATTTTTTTCTTGTGTGTGTATATATATATATAATATATATATTTATAAAAAAGAAAACCAAACCCCAAGCCAAGCCAAAACCTTTGTTGATTTAAGTCCTTTAACAAGATAAAACTATGACTATGTATATAACCAATTATGAAACTGGTTTTAAACAAAGGAAACGTATGCAAAAAAAAATCTGTGTATTTGATAGTCAACTTAATATAACAAAACCAAATTGAAATAGCTTATTAAAAGTGTCCTTATATAAAAATGACCTTGTGATGTACAGTAAAATGCAATAAAAATTATCATCCTTTGTTCCTCCCTCCCACCCCCAGTAACTAAAATGGCTACCTTTCCCACAACTCTTTGCTTCTATAGAAGAAACACAGTGATGAGATTAAACATTTTCTAGGTTGTATGCTTGTCGAATGTTAAGAGTGTCTCGAAGCATTAAATCCCGAAGGCGCCAGAGGGCATCTGCCATGGTGGTGTGTGCCCCTTTACTTTTGAGCCAGTGAGAAGGTAGGCGGCTCTCCTGTTCTTTTGACAAATGGACATCCCGTCTTCGAGCTGAAAATGTGATGTATAAACAGAGAGACATTTGAATTTTAAGATGATAAAATGACCCCCAGTTTTAAGGGTTGATGTATTTATTAAAATAATATATATTAAAACTGAATATGTGCTAAAGATTGTAAGTCAGCAAATTTCTTTTATTAGGCACTAATATCTGACCACTGATAAATTATTGTGATACCCCTAATATTAGCAATTGCTTCAATTTTTTTTGGGGGGGGGTTTCGAGACAGGGTTTCTCTGTATTGCTTTGGAGGTTGTCCGGGAGCTTGCTCTATAGATCAGATTGGCCTCGAACTCACAGAGATCCGCCTGCCTCTGCCTCCTGAGTGCTAGGATTAAAGGAGTTCACCACCACCGCCCTGAATAAGGAGCCAGCAGTGGTGGCACACGCCTTTAATCCCAGCGCCGAGGAGGCAGATGCAATTTATCTCTGTGGTCTACAGAGTGAGTTCCAGGACAGGTAGAGTCACTCAGAGAAATCCTGTCTCGAAAAACCCAAACCAAACCAATCAACCAAACAAAAAGGAAACGAGTAAGAGGCTCGATCAGTGGCTAAGAGCATTTACTGCTCTTTCAGTGATCTGATGATGTCTTCTTCTGGCCTCTGAGGACACCAGGCATTTTTTTTTTTTAAAGATTTTATTTATTTATTATGTATACAACATTCTGCTTCCATGTAGATATCTACACACCAGAAGAGAGCACCGGATCTCATAACAGATGGTTGTGAGCCACCATGTAGTTGCTAAGAATTGAGCTCAGGACCTCTGGAAGAGCAGTCGGTGCTCTTAACCGCTGAGTCATCTCTCCAGCCCCAACACCAGGCATTTATGTGGTACATATAAAAATATATAATATGGCAAACACTCATAAAATAAAATCTTGAAAGAAATGAGCAAGAGTTGGGTATGGTAGCAGGCACCTGTAATCCCAGCTCTTAGGCAGAGGGAGGAGGACTGCGATTTCAAGGAAGGCATGGGATATATGGAAATATGGGATACATGGAAAAGGCAGTTCTGTCTCAAATACCAAACCACAAAACAAAACCCAAAAATCCAACTAGTATCAGGGAAATGGCTTGGTGCATACAGTGCTAGACGCACAAATCTGACTATAACCAGGAGTCCATCCTGCACACAAAAGGCAGATGTGCTGGGTGTCAGGTATCCTGGCAATTCTAAGGACAGATGGGAGTCAGACAGAAATACCCAGAAGTTCAAGGGGCTCTTAGCCTAGAGCAATAGCGCAGCAACATAAACAAGAGAGACCCTGTTTCAATAAGAACCGATTCCTGAAAGTTGTCTTCTGTCCTCCATACAACCAAAACACATGCGAACTCTGGCATGTGCATGCACATGCACGAACAAACACAAATTTCTTCTCTTTCTTTCTTTCTTTCTTTCTTTCTTTCTTTCTTTCTTTCTTTCTTTCTTTTTTTGAGTTTTTTTCCGAGACAGGGTTTCTCTGAGGCTTTTGAGGCTATCCTGGAACTCACTCTGTAGACCAGGCTGGCTTCGAACTCACCGACATCTGCCTGCCTCTGCCTTCAGAGTGCTGGAATTAAAGGCATGCGCCACCAACGCCCGGCTCACAAATTTCTTTTTTAAAATGAATAGGCAGAAGCTTCCAAATTCCTTTCCAGATACTAGTTAACACTATTCACTATATACTACAGATACATTGTCTGTTGAACTAAATGAATAGCTTGGTAGACTAAAGAAATATGCTTTCCAGTTTTTTCTTTTTAAAATCTGATATGTATTCTAATACTCAAATATCTGAGAAAAAAACTGAAAAAACATTAATGTATTTGAGAATATGGTAGATACGGAGCTTTGATTTTTTGGGTCCATTTTCACTGGGTTAATGTGCAAAGAACTCCCAATCTATTCTATGAAACAGTTTATTTTACTGGTATAAGAAAAAGGGATGAAAGGGCAGAAATGAGAGGACTAAGAGGAAAAACATATTTTACCAAGGTTCTCCTTACCTGCCAGAGTTTGGTCCCACTTGCTAATGCTGTTGGATTCAGCACTGAGTCCTTCAATATATTTCAGGTAGGCCTCTGAGTGGAGAAGCCTTTGGGTCTTTGGTGGGGGAGCCACAAACATGGGTGTTGTTGGCTGCTGAATGACAGGGGGGCCAGCTGGATGAGGACCAGGATATGGAGGTGGTGCCTGCTGCCCTGGAGGCCCCAAAACTCCTACCTGAAAGAACATGGGTTTAAGGCATAAAGATAATCTGCACATGTTCTGAGAAGGCAATGGCTAAAAATTTTTGAGTCCAAGGAAAATCAAACTAAGAGGCTCACCTGTTGCCCATATGGACTTCCACCTGGTGCTGGAGTCCCTACCATGGGGGCTACTCCTTGGTTCATAACACCTATAATTCAGAATGCAATGGCATAATTAGAGGCTCTGGGTTTCACTGACAGAAAAAATTGTCTGACAAGAGCTGATATCATTTATAATGCCAACCTATGTACCTTTACCCTTGAGTGTGGATAGGAACCTTAAGTACCCCAAACAATCTAATCAGGAAATTTATATTCTTTTGTTTCTGGTTACTTAAACACAGTAATAGTACATTTTGTCATAGGTACATTTATTATTATTCCAGGCTTAGAATATTTTGAACCCTGCTTAAATTCTAGGGATACCTTGGGTGAGCTATAGTCAGAATACACTTCTGTTTTCAAGGCACTTTTCTGACCATATAGTCTTCTGCAATTGGAGCCTATGGGATCAGGCTCTGCAGTAACCACTGTGCTGGGGCAGGAACCACAAGGGCTGAGGATGAGCAGTTACCTGAGCCTTGTGGAGGCTGGAGGTACTACTTTACTGTTCCTTTGCAGGCCAGCCACCAACTGGTTCTACCTCAGGCACTAATGCTGGCAGAGAGAAGGCATTTCAGTGGATCATGTGGAAGCAGTGTAGCCTTGTTGCCATCACCTTGGATTCCAAATGACAAAGGAATAGAGAAAGACCTCCTGGCCTTATTCTCTCTGGTAATCACTGAGTACATTTCCTTTGGAAGATGTTCATGAGCAACTGTTGTCTCACAGGTACTAGCTAATGACAATGGGCTGTCCTAAATTTAGTTTTTAAGGCACTTTTAATCTCAGGGCAATCCGTTTACTATTCTAACAAAACAAAAATAGCCAAAGGCCTCAGTTTGTTAAAACTAACAAACCACAACCAAACCATTTAAAACTGTTCCTTAAGCTTAAATCCTGCTTCCTAGTCTTCTGTCCCTGATTAAAATGCTGATGTTTTGCTGTGTACATTAGCTCACACCTGTAGTCCCAGCACCTGGGAAGCTGAAACAGGAAGACCACTGTGAATTTGAGGCCAGCCTGGGTTATACGTAAACTATACATCTCTCTCTCCCAAATCTAGCATTTTGACAGGCAGAAAATCATTTGAAGGTTCAGAGTTAAGTGTCAGTTCCAGGAAGTACAGGAATTTTACTTGTTAGAGAGAAGGAAAAAAAAGTGAAACAAGTTTCTGTTTAAAAAGGAAGAATACGCCAAGTCCTTGCAAGTATAACCCAATCACCACAGCTGTGTCCTGGTGATTTAGGAATTGCACAAAGTAACGGCAGATAAGCTGCTGCTTCAGCAACATGTTAATAAGCCATGGTCCCAGCTCCGTTCAAGTCACTCCTCTACTTTAGATTCTACAGACTTGGAAGCTCCCCAGACTGGCTGTATCACAGATCTGCAGGGCAGCACAAACAAATCAGCAACCCCCTCCACTTCCTGTTTACAAGTACCATGCCTAGGGTAGCCATTGAGAATGTGAGCTGAGATAACAGATAAGCCTCTTGAAGCTCAAAGCCAGATCAGCTGTGCACGGGCATACAAAGAGTTCTGTCTCCCTGACTATTATTGGATGTGCTGTGCTTTCTTTCAATGCAGTTTTAGATTCTGTAGGCAAAAGAAGCGAGGATAACAATGCCCCACACCCACCAAAACACAGCTGCTATCTTGGGGTGTGTACTTGCCTTAAACAGGACTTCTATCAAGTGCTATATACATCTACAAGGTGTCAGCTCCAACAAGGTTTTACTGACTGACTCAGAAACCTTGTGCCAAGGTATGAAGGGCACAGTTTAGGACCACGTTCATTTGCCGTATAAGAAAAATTATTTTCTGATTGACTCCTGGTGCCACAGCATCTCACATGAGTCACCATATCCAGAATTGAGTACAAATCCTACAAACATTTTTTCCTTTGGGAACATTTTTAAAAAAAAGCTTTAGTAGAGTTATGGCCATTCTCTAAGGAACATAGAGAATGTGGCTAAACTGCAGAAGTGGAATGCATGCATGTCATCCCCACATTTGGGATGGATGGTGAGGCAGTAGAATCTTGAGTTCCAGGCCAGCCTTGGCTACGTTGCCAAAAAACAAAACAAAACAAAACAAAAAAAACAAAACAACAACCAGAAAGGAAGAAAAAAGTTCAGTGGAGCCAGCATTTGATTTCCCTACACACCATGTAGAACCTTATGGGCAATGGGTCCAAGCATAATGCAAGTAAACTTGACAGGCTCCAACCCACATTTCACGGGGGTTTTGGCTGAGATGACATTTCAGTAGTGCATCAACTGCTGTTTCAAGTTGTTTAAAAGTCACATTTCCCCTAACTAGATTCTAGCCCAATGTAAGTTCTTTTGCATATGATGGAAATTATTATAGAAACTTGTGATTTTTCCAATCTTTCAACTTTCATTATAAAGTGAAAACAATGTTTTGTTCTCATAAAACAACTTGTGGGTTCTGCTGACAAGCAAGTTATGTCCATAGCTATCAGGGTGTTATTTGAAGTGTCATGCTCCTTAGGGAACTCAAGATTAAATCCATAATACAAACTCCTTCCCTTCCTAAATTGGTTACAAGTGAAGGATTTCTGAAGAGCTTCAGATAGGCTACTCTTATGATCACCTTAAAAGGGCTGTTGAGGAGGAAGAGATGGTGCAGGAACTCTACAATGAAGACCTTGTGAGATAAGAATTTCACCAGGTGAAGAAATGCACTTGGAGTAAAAAGTACTTTTATATATGATTCTGAACTGGCAAGTCACTGATGAGAGGTTGTGGCCCTCAAAGCTTTTCAAACATATATCTGATAATGAGCCATGCCTCCTGTTCCTTCATCTATGGGTCTGGCCTCTGCAATGCACCCTGTGCTGCTGCCAGGTAGGAGATGCACAGGGCACAGGCAGTAAGTAGGTCACCTGTTGAACATGTAGGGTGGGCCCTACTGCTGACAGCTCTGGGATTCTTAGTGAGGAAAGCCTGGCCACCATGGGCAGCAGGTGCCTCCAGGAAGAACTGGCTGAGGAAGGAAAAAGAATTAAAATATGAGATTAATGAGTGAATGAGGATGAAGTTCTTACCGGGTGGTGGGATGCCTGGGAGGCCAGGCACACCTGGCGGAAGATGGTGAGGTGGAGGCCCCCCAGGGTGAAGTGGCTGCATGCTGCCCATGCTAACAAGGCCATCAACTGGGCCCTGCAAAGGTGGAAGGCCTGGCGGATAGCCACCCATCATGCCTTGAAGGACACAACAAATTTCAGACATGCATCATTAACATGCAACATGAGCTAATAATAACAACCCCCTCCATGCACTACCAATGAATAAAGCACCCTTAGTACTGCATGATATAACAGCAATTAGTGCAATTATTTTGTTGCAGAAATGAACAAAATAAAGTTACAAATATGAAACCCAACATTTTTGGATGAATTAGTACTTAGTAAATTATTATTTATAGTTATATTCAATAAGCTAAACATAATGGCTTCATTTAATAATAAAGAGGAGCTCTAGTAACAGCTTTCCCAAGGTCGGAACTATTTCAAGGTGTTCAAACACTGACCAGTTCTGCCACTTGCAACGCCAAGTGATCAGTACATACCCCAGTTACTCCACTCTGCCCGCACTCACATCCCTATTGTGGGTGCACATGAAGGGAAAGCAAAATGGAGGGAAATGAGGTGCACAGTCCTGATCACAAGACATGGTTCTCCAGTTTGGGAGCAAAAAAGTTTCAAGACTTCTTCATATACTCCTCCCTCCACCACTGCTGTTAGGAATGGGTTATGTTAAGGTTTGAGCTGGAGAACAACTTCTAACACCCATCACACTGAACAGTATTTCATCTTTAGATTTCAAAATATGTTAAGGAGAAATCTAAATCTTCTCAAGCCAACTAAAGTCCAGGTCGCTGAGAAACCTACATGCAGCTGGAGCGTCTGGCTCTGCTGACAGGAGGAAAGGCCAGCTGTCATCACTGTCTCCAGGCTCACAAATTTCCTCATGTAAACCTTCAGTTGACAGGTATTTTAACTGAGGTACAGAATTCATATGCACAGAGGCTTTTGTTCCTTTATTTTCCAAGAATGCCATCATATAACAATATCTGCCGGCTAGGGAAGTGTTACAGCAAAGAAGTATTTTTGAAAAGGGGGAGGAAATAAAATTATTTTGTAAGGACTCACCTATCAAAAAAAAAACCAGAACAAAACAAAACCAAAACAAAACATGACTCTCCTGGAACTGTAAGAGTCTGAATGAATATAAAGCTCCCCCTGGAGTACAGTCACTTAGGCAGTTTCTCACATAGGAAGGGCAAAGGCGGAGCACCAAAATATTCTTTGAAGAGAATTTCAGTTTTACTTTGAAGAGGTATTAGAAACCATTTATCTATACAAGGTTAGTCTTTTAAAGCTATGGCATACTGAAAACCCTGAAACTGACTCATCTTGCCTCCTTAGTCATGTCTAAACTGGCTAGAAAAACTTACACAAAACAAATTTGAAATGTTTCTATACATGAAATAGGATGCATTTCAGTTTTTAAGAGTTCAAGGTTAAAAAAAAGCGACTTTGAGCAGATACCATCATCTTAAACATGATGAGATCGAATGTTGCTAAACTGCCCTTTCAACATGCCACCAGGTACAGCTTTTAAGGATAAGTAGGTGAGAAATTGAACAATGTTAGGAGGCTTTGCTTTCAATTACAAAAGCCCATCTGAACGCAGCCATCATAGGCTGTGGTTGAAGATTTAAGTTATTAAGAACTGAAAGACACGACACTTGTCTTCATTAAACTGTACTTTGGCATTTATTATCCCAGTCACATGTGTTCAAATGAGCTTCAATGCTTGTAAGCAAAGCTGGTCTCAACAACAAGAAGGCTAAGACTCAGGCCCTAAGCAATCTAGACTCCATGAAAAATCACCCTCTTAGCTTCAAAGCTCTCACTGTGGACCAAAGGCTCTTTACTATAGAGATTCTGCCTTTCACTCCTGTGGCCCAGAAGCCTGGACCGCACACCTTTAGTAACAGAGCAGTGGTCTTCTAGAGGGACCACCTTCCTCACCCACAGAGCTATATGATGCTATTCCCCAACAGGGAGCTAAAATGCTGCAGCTGCTAATTTTTGTTTCTTTTTAGCTGTTTGTATTCATTTTGTTAATATGTTGCTGGGTTTTGTAGTCAAGGACATAGTGCCACAGTATTATACATCAAATAGAACAAAAGAGGATGTCAAATGAGGGAATCCTAGCTTTCAAAGTCCCCTTGATCAAGACCTGATTACTGAAAACCTCTGGAACCCCATTAACCAAAATGGGCCATGGAATAGAGCAGGCGATTATGAGATTTGTTAGATCAACATCAGTCACACTGAAAGCACTGACAGCCATGATTCAGATGTGCTTTGGCGAGTGCAACTGCTGAGTTCAGCGACAGTGCATTTGAGAACTTGCCATCACAAAAGTTAGGAGCAACAATGGAAAAGTTATCCTATGCACTCTTCCTCTAAAAGCAAAAACAAAAAAGGCAAAAAACGAAAACGGCAAGAACAAAAACAGCAAAAACAAAAACAGTATCCCAACAAAGCTGCCTTGGACAACACTGTCTTGGACTCCGTGCAAAAGAGGTCAGATTATTGTTTAAGAGGAAACACAGGTGGCTTGTACAGAGCTCACCAGACATGGAGAAGTAACAAAGGAAGGCCTGAGAGGTGGTCTGCAGGCTTTTCATGGAGACATGTCAGACAAGATTTCAATTCAACAGTAGTCAAGTTTGCTATGGCTACCAGAACCAGAGACAACACACACAAACAAACCACATTCATCATTTGCTTTTCCTTTCTTTCTTCTTTCTTTCTTTCTTTCTTTCTTTCTTTCTTTCTTTCTCTCTTTCTCTTTCCTTCTTTCTTTCTTCTTATTCATTTGTTTATTTAAATATGTGACTGGGATACTAACAGAAAATGCAGTTTAATGTAATTAAATAGAAAAGCATTACAGAGTGGGCACAATGAATTGAATGAGGACTTCCCCCCCCTACTTAGCAGTCATGCACATTGGTGACCAAGAAAGGATTTAATAATTCATTGTCAAAAATCCTTTTAAGTGGTCAGTCTTTTAAGGATGGCTGCAGCAGAATAAGGCAAACTGAACTGACATGAGACAGAAAATCAACACGACCTAAAGACTGCTTTTATTTTCCTTGGAGTTCTTCAGAACAGAACTCAGGGTCTATTATATTTCCTGATGTAGTACTCTCTCAAGAGCAGTCTGGGGTAAGAACATTGCCAGACTATGCCTACAGCAAGGGAAGAGCTGCTACCTACCAATTGCCAGGGTTGGGCCCATGGCCCACTTTTGGGTTAGAGAAGAGGCATTGCCTGTATGGGAAAAGCAATACAGGACAACATGGATGACTTCAAACTTTTAATCTGTCATGAGAAAAGGCTACAGACTGTGGCCTACTCCTTTTGGAGAAAAAAAAAATGAAGGAATTTCTTAAAGTGGAAAAAAATGGTCTTAGCTCCTGTTTTTACCTGCAACAGGTGTCAACTGCTGATTGAGCATCCCCATTGGTGTTGGTGGTGGCACCACCCCCATGAGAGCCCCCACAGGGGTGCCTGCTCGGGGAGAAGCACTCGGTTGCTGTTGCTGTGCTGCTCGCTCTCTCTCCTGCTGCTCAGCAACTTTAGCTGCCCGCTCTGTAAAGGCATTTCAGATTTTCAATTCTGTTTTTAACCCAGGAATTCAAAATACCATCCATTGCATTCAACAGGACTAGTAAAAACACAGGCAACAGTTCTGTCTCAATGGAAGGAACGGTAGATGACTAGTCTCAACACAGGAGTCGGGCCGATTTCACTTGATAACCTAGAATTCAGCTTTCCTATCCCATCTTGAGAACTGGTCTGCAAAGATTTCAAGAATGTTAAGACTGCAACACACATTCAGAAAGCACAGGTTTTATCGAAACACATCACCAGCGTAACCACCGTGGTTAATCTCACGAGGCACTCTGAAGATGAGAAGCGCTACCATTATTCTAGTATTAATAGCATTACAGATTATAATTTCAACATGAAGCAATTCCATGGCCCATTATAATTTTTGGCACAATTGTACTTACTCTAATTTCCTGATTCCTTGATTCCAATTTTACTAAAATTTGAGGACTCATCATTAATATCACAAGTTTAGCAGCTGAAGAAAATTAACTCTGTAAGGGAAAAGTAGCTTACTGCTTCTAGCTTAAGACTTTAGGAAAAGTAAACAGCCAGTTTCTACATTCTAATGAAGCAAAGAAAGAGGTCATGATTAGCAAACTCCACGGGAGGGAAATACATGGTTAGCTAGACTACGGTCATCAGAAACAGGGAACTAATACATACATGTATGTAGCAATGGACAATAATTCTGAAAGAACCAGATTCCCTGAAGCTGAGTTCACAACTGACCATAAATTATGCTAAATCAGCAACAATTCCAGCATCTACTCTTAGTGCATCTGAAATGCAAGAGAAGCACATATTTTTGGAAATTCTGGGCTATTAGCCAATAGACCCCTCACTTTCTTGAGCTACTCTGCATCTCTAGAGCCAGCACCCTCAACAGTCATGCTCATAGCAGGCCAGACCTTCTTTGAGGGTATATTCCCAAAGTTCCCACCATTCAGGGTTTATTCAGCTTCACCATTCTAAGTAGGAAGTCCTTCCTACTCTTCAGATGGGCAAACAGAAGCTGGAATACAGGCAGTGACTTGTCCAAGAATACAGTAGAAACAGCAACTTACGGCCCTGACGCCTGGTGCCACACTTCAACTTCCACAATTAACTCTCCAACATGGAAATCAAGACTACAGCTATTTGGGGGGAAACTGCTTGAGGTCATGTGGCTTTAAAGAGACTTAAGAAGCAATAGCTCCACTCCTTTATGGGAAGAATGTAAAAAAACATGCAAGTCAAAGGTCCCCGAGTCTGTGATGGAGTTGCCTGTAGACACTTATCATCACTCACTAGCACTACCCTTGTCTAATATTCTCTGTAAACTGAGTACAGTAAGTTCGAGGACCAAATCCATTCTAACAACCTATTTTCCCAATGTAGTAGTTAAAAAAAATATATTGGTGATCCAGATGCCACAATATTAAAATCCTATTTTACCATTACACAAATGAAACAGTAAAACTGGGAAGGAAAAACAAAAATTGAAATTGGAAAAACAGAAAAGCTCAGGCATGTGCATCAAATTATTAGCTGTTTCTGAGAGAAGCGGAACTGAATTACCAAAACTATGCCAGTCAAACTCCCAACTTTGCATTTTGAATTCAGTGGGCAGAAATACCCAAAGTTTAGAGTTTGAATTTCAGGCTATTGAATTATGCAACTTCCCTTTTACTAGGTTCTACCTAATTTCACACACCCTTCTGCATGAGAAAATTTCTCAACTATCATTTCTTCTTCCCTCAGCCATGCTCCAGTTTTTTGGCCCTCAAATTATCTCTAGATCCCTTTGTTCTATTCATACCCCAACAACCACCCACAATACTAGTTTTGTTTGCCTTTATACTATGTTTGCCTAATTTCTTAGACAACAGCCCTCCAACTAAGTGGTATATTTGGTCTTAACTTGCAGTAAGCCCTGAAATATCGAAGTGTCCCAGAGTTATAGGTTCTTATGGGATTGACTAGACTTTCTCAAAGAATGCCCTACAAATTAACTTTCCAGGGTATTACTAAACACCATATAAAGACCTGGTCAAGGCTCAGAAAATAACAGATAATAAGAAGTTCTTTACTATAGGTCTTAGAGACTTTAATTTAGGACTACGCCCAGAGTTTGGAATGCTTCTGAAACAGGTTTTTCCATGAGATATTTCTTGGCTGAGTATTTTGCAGGATTAGGCTTCAGCACAAGATCCTTAAGGAAGCCTGTCAGATAATTTTATAATAATAAATAGTAACAAATGAAAGGAATGTAACTTTTTTTTTAAACAAAAGAGTTTCTTTGGATTTCATAAACTTCAATAAAAGGAGCAGACTTCATACTGTATGCTTGTTGGAAAATACTGGATTTGGGACTCATCAAAAAGCGTACAGACCACTGTAGAGAGGAAGACTCTGTATAATTGGAAAATTATCTAACATACAATATTTACAACAGAAAAACTACAATTCAAAGGTTAAAGTCCTACCTAATGTAATGCTTACTCTCATTTATTAAAGCCACATCCAATATTAACTAGAATAACAAAAGATCCAAACCACCAAAAATCTTTTAAGAACATATCCTTTATGGCTATGAAGCACCAAATCTTTGAGTAATAATAGCTCATGGCTCAAAGTGATCTAATCACAGAGTAAGGGGGAAATGAAGGCAGCTGAGCTTTGTCAAAGTCATCCAAGTGTCTTAAGATTAGGTATGAACACAGACACGGCACCAGGCACACCAAGCCTGAGCCTAGAGTTTAGCTTACAACTTTGGCTTAAGAGACATAACAGAAGATCACCTATTTTAAAAGGTCACTTGCAGGTGAGTTTTAATCAAAATTAAAGTTAACATTATTGAACAATCATTTCCTTGCTCAACGTGTGTGCCTACATGGATAAATGAAGTAAAATCATGTAATTTTTAATAGTAAAATGTTTTTGTTTGAGAAATCTGTGGGGAGGGACACCACCACCAGGAACTGAGGCTAAGTCAGAGGCAACACTCTGTGTACTGGCATCTACTGACAGTGTACTATTGTCGGCCGGAACAATCCAAAACACCAAATTCATGTGCATGTGGTAAGAACGAGAGAGTAAAACCTGTCTATGCATGTGCACTCCTGGAAAACACCCCTTGCTTAGAAAGTGGGGACCCTTGTGCCTAGTCTCTATTTACCTTCATATTCTGCTTTCTTGGCTGTCTCAAGGTTTCTCCATTCTGTCCCCACCAGTCTGCTGAGCTCCCCAAAAGAGTAGTCTGGGTGCTGGGCTTTAATCACAGCTCTCATTTCACTGCTGAATAGAATGTAGCCACTCATGTTGATTTTCCGTTTAGAACCTTCCTTCTTTGCACTGCCTTTGGCAGACTTTGGGGTAGACTGTAAGACAGAGAACTTACATAGGGTATCAGAAAATTGCACTGGGTTATCTACATAGTTTCTGGAAGCCAGACACATATGGTTCAATAATAAATGTTTTATAGACATACTCAGTTTGTACCTGACATTTTCTTGGTCAAAATATACCTCTTCCTTGCCTTCTACAAAATAAATGAAAAATTCACTGAATTCCATGACTGAAATCTACAATGGTGACCTCACAATTAAGACTTGAGAAAATTCTGAATGAGGAAAATAAATATAATAGGGATCACCTTAACAAAAAGGGTAAATTAAAAAGATACAGGTACCCAGGTGTGGCAGAATACATCTATAATCCCATTACTTAGGAAGTGGAATTGGAGGCAGAAGGGTCACATGTTTGGGCACTGAAAACTAAGGGACTTAAGAGCATGATACTATTGTTTAATGTTGTTCTTCAGTATAAGGCAAGAAGCCTTCAATTAAACTGCTATTAAGCTATCTATGAAACTTAAGAGAAATTATTATTAGCTTAATGATGTGATAAATAAGTATTTTGTCAGTAAATAAATATTCTGATAAACAAAACAATTATTCTTTTGTGCAGATTTCTAGGCAGAAGCTCACAAATGAAAAATGTATGGTATTGCACACCTATATATACTCCCAGTGTTTGGGAAATGGAGGGAAGAAAAACAAGAGTTCAAGCCCACCTTGAATATACAGCAAGTCTAAGGCCAGCCTAAGCTACTGACATCATCTCAAACAAAACTAAGGCTGGATGTTTCCTACTTTGGTCCAAGCCTGTTGCAGACCAGAACTGAGAACGAGGCAAGTAACAGGGCATGTCAGCATACCTGAGGGGGTGTGTAGGGCATGAGGTCCAGCTCACTGGCCAGGGGAGTCTGAAGCTGAGGTAGAGATGGAGGTTCAATGACCTCACTATCCTCTTCTCCCATCTCTTCAATATCATCATCTCCACCTTCTAACTCAGCAAACTTAGCTTCTAGCAATTGTATCTTCTTTTCCAACAAAGGTGAGGGTTCTTTCTGAGGAATGATTGGTTTTCTGAAAAAAGTACCAAACTAAATAAGTAAATTAATTAATTAATTAAAAAAGTTGCCAGCCACTTCCAGGTTGTCTGAGAGTAGATCTGAACATCTACAAATGACATTTTACAACCTTCTACAACCACTCTAATCCCTAAGTCTAAGGGCAACAAAGTCACTTAAATGGGTATTTGTGATGTCACCTCTACTTAGAAATAACTCTGAAGATTACTCACAGAGCACTGGTCAGGTCTAATGGACTATATGGTAAAAAGGAGTTGTCAAAATCTATGGAACTGAACAATCTCCCTACAAAGAGGCTGTCAATCAGAACCCAGTGTTTCTGTCTTCTATAATTGCTAGTGTCTAAGCCAAGGTACTATTAAAAGAATTGCTAATATTTTAAAACTATTTTCTTTCTCTGCAACAAAGTCATACTTTACAGCCGAGGCTGACTCAAACTTACACAATCTTGCCTCAGCTTCCCAAGCATGGGAAATACCACATCTCACTGAATTAATATTTTCAATTGGAATTATGTAATGATAGTTGAAAGCCTAATAACACAACTCAAACATTGGGCTTCACTATTTTGATAAGTTAGCCTATGTGTTCTTTCTTCCTTACTTTTATAAGCTTTACCTGAAGTAGTAAATTTCATCATCTACAACTTTAGCAGAGAGTGAAAACCTCTTCAACCCCTTGAATTTCTTCATCTGCTTGTCACTCTCATTATAGCGGCTCTCACAAAGCAGAATGTCATTTTCTGGTATTTCAGTTGGCCTGCAGGAGAGGAAGTCCTTGAATGACAACACAGCACATTTTCCTGAAAGAGTAAATTAGAGATACATTAAAGGAGTAAACTCTCATAGTTAACAATCTGGGACTTGCCGAGTAGAGTAGGCCAGGCTGGCTGGCTAGTGGGCCTGGGCCTCTCTCTGTTCTCCAGGGATGGGATACAACTGCACACCTGCAAGTGTGGCTTTTAAGATGTGGTTTTGGAGACCGAGCTCAGATCTTCATACTTGCAAGGTATGCATTTTACCAGCAGAGTTCACTCCTTAGCACCAAATTTTATATTTTTATGTTTTGACTCACAGTTAAAAATAAAAAGGATATATATTGGCATAAAGATATAAACAGATGAACAGAATAAAACTGAAAGCCTAGAAATAAACCTGTAGAATTGGACAAATAGATTTCTACATGCAAAAGAATGTAGATCCCCACTAAACTTCACACACAAAAATCAACTCAGAATGGATTAAATGTTTACATGAAGAGCTACAAAACAAAGCTCATCTTTGATTAAGCAGTGGCTTCTTAGAACAGACACTAAGGGACACATAAACCACAAAGGAGTACATAGTCTTTGGGGCTAGAGAGATGGCTCAGTGGGTAAGAGCATTTACTGTTCCTGTAGAGGATCTGGATCTGAGTTCAATTCCCAGTACCCACATTGGGCAGCTCAGATCTGCCTGGAACTCCCACTTTGGGAAGCCAACACCTTTCTGACCTTCTTGGAGACATAAAGACATACATACATATATATAAATAACAAAAAATTTTAAAAATAGACCATCAAAATTAAAAGCTTTTGAATTCCAAAGGATCCTGTTAAAAAAGTGAAAGACAACCTAGATAAGAAAACAATTTTCAAATTATGTATCTAGTTAAGCATCTAATAGCCAGAATATCTTTTAAAAGCCCACAACTTAACAATTACACAAACCTATTACAAATGGGAGAAACGTTATTAAGTTACATTTCCCCAAAAATTTAAAATTGCATTAGGTATAGGAAAATGATAGCTGACATCATTAATCATCAGAGAGATGCAAATCAAAACCACAATGAGGTACTACTTTATATCCATTAAGATGACTTCTAAGATAAAGAGGAAACGGGAACAATGGCAAATACTTCTAAGATAAAGAGGAAAAGGGAACAATGGTAAATACCAAGTGTGGGCAAAAGCAGAGAAACTGAAGAGAATAAACTTATACAACTGTTAAGGAAAGTAGTTTGGCAGTTCCTCAACTTAAACATGGGGAATTGGAGGAGTGGATATAATCAAGATATGTTGTATGCATGCATGAAATTGTCAAAGAATAAATAAAACTATTGTTTTAAAAACTAAATAATTACTGCATGAACCAGCAATGCTGCTTTTGGGTATTTAGCCCTAAGTACTGAAGAATCAAACAACTGTATAGCAATGATCACAGCAACATTATTAATAGTAGCTACAATGTAGAAAAAACCCACAGTTGGCCAAAAGATAAATGTATAACAAAGCAGCTTTTATACCTGTTATGGATTATTACTCAGACTTACAAGGGAATAAAATTATGATGTACTCAACATGGATGAATCTTGAAAACATCATGTTATGTGAAATATACCAAGAAAAAAGATAAAATATCCACTGTCCCACTCATGTATAATATACAGAATACATGAAATTCATATGATGGAGTGGAATAGATTCCTAGGCAGGAAGAAGGGAGGAGGAAATTAAGTTACTGTTTAATGGGTAGCTTTTACTTGGGATGACAAGAATATAAATAAATAGTACTTTCACCTACATCCTGATCTTGCTTGCTCATCACCCAGTATTTCTTGGACTTCTTTTTAAATTTTACACCTTATCCACACTTACAGCTATTAACATATATAGCAGGGTCCACATATGAAGAACATGCAATTTTCCCCCTGAGTTTAGGTAATCTAACAATACTATATTTTCTAAGTCCACCCACTTTCTTGAAAACGATTTTATTTTTCTTTAAGCTGAATTATACTTAATTTTGTATATATACATTTTGATCATCTAATCATCTGCTGATGGACATCTCATTGGTTCCATTTCCTTGCTATCATAAATAAGATAGCAATAAACATGGATGTACAGATATCTCTATGGCAGGATATGGAGCTCTCTAGGTATATGCCCAAAAGTGGGAATTTTTAAATTTATTTGTGGGAATTCCAAACTGATTTCAATAATAGCTGTATTACTTTGCATGATCATGCAAGAGGATATAATGCTGTTTTTCTAGTTTCAACCTTGTGATGGTGAAGTACATTAGAATGTAATTGACAAACTGGACATGATGGCTCATGTTTTTAATCTCAACATTTGGGAAACAGTGGTAGGTAGATCTCTGTGAATCCAAGGCCAGCCTGGTCTACATATTGAGTTCTAGGCCAGTCAGGGCTTCACTGTGAGATGTCATCCCGCTTTTAAAAAAAAAAGACTGAGCTAGGCTGAGCTGGGCACTGTGGCAAACACTTGGGAGACAGGAGGAGATGGATCTCTGAGTTTGAGGCCAGCCTGGTCTACAAAATGAGTTCCAGGACAGTCATAACTACATGAAAGACCCCTCTCAAAAAAAGATTGAGACATTTGTCTTGGATGTTCTCTCTAACATTTGTTTGGCATCATTCAATAATCTTCCTGGAGCAGTATATATTATTTTGTGTTAAGCTATACTTCTGGAGTCTTCTAAGCTCCTATAAATGTAGTGCTAGAGGGTGCTTTTTGGCCTCTACTGAGGGGACATGTTTTTCTCCTGTCAAAGAATAAAAGGTAAAAGATTCATATGAAAACTTGTACAAAAACTAAAATTAAATAAAATTAACCCAACACATTTATTACTGCCTTAACAAAAGGAAACTTCAGTCTCACCATTATGTTCCTTTTTAATCTTGCTGGGTTTACACTAGAAAGTGACTTGGGCATCACTTTAGTCTGGATCAGAATTTAAAAGGAGACTTTCTGCTACAGAAAGGCATGGGTTTAATGACTTCACTTTTTTTAATAAAAAAAAAAAAAAAAGCCTGTCTGAAGATCAGAGACTGGAGCTTACTAGCTAACCAAAGAGGTCTGGAGGTTTGTACACAGACAGACAGGAAGTGAAATGGCTAGGTGGAAACACGAAGTGAGATGGCTGGGCAGAGAGAGGATATAAGCGGGAAGGAACAGGAACTTGCTCTCTTGTCTGCTGAGATGCTAAGTAAGTAAAGGTGACTTTGGCTTTCTCTTTCTTCTCTCTGATGTTCAGACAGGCTTATTTGTACAAGCAAGGTATCACCACACTTTACTGATCTTAGTTCACTTTTCCCATGACAGAAAGTTGAAAATGTGCTGAATAACTGAACAGTTTTGCCATATCTAATTTTGAAAATAATTATAAGCACCAAAACAATTTAGCCAACATCATCATCAAATAAAGACAAACATATGTTTGAATCCGCAAATTTCTCTTTAGTCGTGATCCACGGTGGCTTCTTAAAAGCATGAACAATCAGGGACTGTTTGCAGCTATGCAGGTTAATGGCAGAGTGTGCACTTGATCATGTACAAGGCCCTAGGTTCAAACTGTAACTTGGAGTGTTGGTGGGGGATCTGCAAAACATCAACCATCATTGTAAAGCTAATAACTAGTAACCTTTTAGGAAGCCATCTCAAGGGATGTAGCATGGCTAGTGTATGACCTAGTAGCTCTCAGGGCTTGGAGAAATATAGCAGGTGGCAACATTGTTAGTATATGATGATGCATAAAACTAGATCCAAGAAACAGAGTACCATTAGGAATGCTTGGTAGATGACCAAGAAATCAAGACATTAGTTTGGAATGGAGAAAATAAAATGATCAAGTTTAAGAGTCTAACAGAAAGTGAATCATTCATTAGACTATTCTCCCTATTTCCTACCTTACTCTTACAGCATTGTTTACCCAGCCCAGAATGACTCTTACCTCTAATGTGTGTGTCACCTCATATCATAGCTCTGCTCAACATTACTACAATTTCCTTTCAAGCCCAATCACTGCACTGTCTACAAGACCTACTATGTGAGTATTCACAAAACTCTAAGGGATCATTCCTTTCACCACATCCCCTCCCTTGCTCTAGCTACCAAACACTACCTAAAGGGTCTAAACACAAATAATCTAAGATAACATGTTTGCTGCACCTAGAAGAGAGCCTCAGATAATTCTCCTTTGTTTATTTTTAAACCATACTAGGGTCATTTTATAGCATTCATCAGCAAAGTTTTGGACAATCACATAACCTTGCCCCAACACTATTGTCAATCTTTTTTATTTTATTTTCATTTAAAACTCTAATTGCCACCTGGTCTTATCTGTTATTTATTCACTGACTCCCCAATGTTTGCTCCAATGTCTTTCTGAAAGCAAGACTTGTGATATTTTTAACTGTTACAAATCCAATGTCTAGAAGAGTGCATTGCAGAGCAGGAGGATTTAATCAATGTTTTACAGAACAACTGTGAAAAAAGGACAAATACTTACCCAGAATACAACTCATGGGGCAGGTTTCCTCCAGATTACTCAGAAATACTTCTTTTTTGTAGAACATTTTTGTGGGCTCATGTTCCGTTTCTTCTGGGTGAATGAAAATGGGGCCATAAAAATATGCAGCTCCATCTCGAACCCATACTTTTTCAATTCTTGGGGAGGGGGAACAGAGAAATTAAGTTATAATAATTTCAGTCTTGAATGATTATCTAATAAAAACACCACTAACTACAATGTAATAGGATAGAGCATTGAGAGGAATTTCATGGATGCTCCTCACCCTTTAAGATACTTTTCAGAGAAGGTTCTCTGAAAAAGAGAAAATGACATTGACCACTTGGTGAGAAAAGACTTTTAACACAGTATCAAGGAATGTAATTAGATCATTTTATCTAACTCCCAGGTTTTCTTCCTGAGATGTTCAGGATTTGGCAACAGTTCCTTCAAAACAGAGGTTCACAGCATTTGGTGGAAGATCAAGCACTAAAGCGCTTTCCCCTTAGGCTGCTATACTATACTATTTATCAATTTAAAATTAACGTTATTGTTCCATATCTTCAGGGTCCTAGACATAAAGAAGCATCTTCATTCAGTGAATACTAAGTCCAGCCTTTCAGTTTACTCTACCAACTTACAGGAGTCACCCTTGACTGCTCTACTCTTGGACTACATAGTCCACTGATTAGGAATGCTATCAGCTGTGTGTAATAAGCACATTTAAGAGGCTATCATTCTTGCCTGGATTATTAAAATACCCTCCTAGAAGATCTCTTTGATTCCATTCTTGAACTCCTTCAGTCTCAATAAGGAGAAAGCAGAGCAATCTTATTAAATCAAGAGTTAAATGTTACTTCTCTGCTTGAAACAATACAAAGATACTTTAGTTAACTCTACAAAAGTTCAAGTACCCACAATGATCTCTGAAACCCTACATGATTTGTATATTAACCCCTGCCCCATCTACTACCTTATATAGGGTTCACTCTGCTAGTAGAAAACTGCTGGTTTAAGTGTAGTGTACTTATCTCTCAAGCATTTATAATGGCTATGTAATTCTGCTTGAAATATTTTCTCTGATAGTCACAATTCTTACCATTTCTTCATGTTAGCTCATGATTCTTAGTGAAATCTACACAGACTATTCTCTCTATTCTGACCCCTTACTGGCTCCAATTTCAACAGTATGTATCAGGATCTAACATGCAACATTACTTATCCAAGATACTTGTTGTCTGTTTTCCCATTGGAACAAAGCTCTATTGAAGTAAAATTATCTTTCATTCTTTGTTTTGAGACGGTTCTAGTCTGGAAGCCTTGTTCTTCCTGCCTTAGTCCTCCAATTTCTGGGATTATACACATATGTATACTATTCTACTTGCCACAGAAGTAGGAACAGAGAAAATGTGCTGTGAAGAAGCTGGAGAAATTTCGAGGGGAGGGACTTTTGTCTTCCTTCTCAGTGTGGACTACTAAGCCTCAACTCTCAGCCCCAACCTCATCTTCCCTAATTCACCTGCCCACACGAGGGCGCACCAAGCCATGGGATTTGATGAAGACACAGTCGCCAACCTTCAGCCACATGTCATTGTAATGAAGCTGCTCAAAGTAGTGGCAACCTGGTTCACCATTGGACATCTCTACAGGAACATCTTCTTTTTCCTATGGAAGGAAACTGGTTAAAGAATGGCAGAGAACAACGAAGGAGAAGAGACTCCAAATTAACTTAAGAAACAACTATAAAGTAATTTTTTTGTGAAGGTTGAGAAACCAAACATTAAGTTGTGGGTTACATTTTTATACCCCCCTTCCCATGGATTGAACCTTTTTTTTTTTCCTTCCTTTTTTTTTTTTTTTTTTTTTTGAGACAGAGTTTCTCTGTGTAGCCCTGGCTGTCCTGGAAGGAACTTACTTTGTAGACCAGGCTGTCCTGGAACCTAAGAGATCCACCTGTCCCTGCCTCCCAAGTGCTGGGATTAAAGGTGTGTGCCACGACCACCCAGAGGGGATTGAATTTTTGAGAAAAAATACTGGGAAAGAACTTATTAGCATTCATTTAAAAGTAGACAAATTCACAAATCATTAAAGTTTAAGGAACAAATTCTAGCTGGGCAGTAGTGGTGCATGCCTTTAATCTTAGTGCTCAGGAGGCAGAGGCAGGTGATCTCTGAGTTGAGGCCAGCCTGGTTTACACAGTGAGTTCCAGGACAATCAGGGCCACAAAAAGAGACCCTGTTTCGAAAACAAACAACAAAACAAAACAAAAACAACCCCCTCCAAAGGAACAAATTCTATATAACATTTAATTTTATAGGATGCCCCCTTCTCTGTGGTAATGGGGATGGAACCTAGGACTCTGTGCTAGTAAAGCACTAAATTGATATATCTCAACCCTTTATTTACTATTTTTAAAACAGGGTCTTACTAAGTTGGCCCTGAACTCATTCTACAGTTCAAGCAGGTTCATAGCTTTCCTTTTTCTTGCTTCAACCTTCCAAAACCCTTAAATTATAAGCGTGTGCCACCAGAACCAGATTCTTTTTAATATTACCTTTATAAATTAAGTTTATTTAATCTCTTCTAATGACATAGCTCATCTATTGCCCACTCTGGAAAGTAATATTCCTTTCTGATTCCTGCAGGATTCAGAAATATAACAAGGTGGCTTTTAACTTGCTTTTGTGATACACAGAAAGATTCTATCCATCGTTTCTGTCCTAATTAGTGATTGAATCTCTGGTGAAACACCCAGGGAAAGCCTTTCATTAACACAACAGAAATGAAAGTGAGAACTCATTTCTCACTCCACAAAAGTACTTAGCAAACTCATCTCCAGACTAAACAGGAAAGAGGTGTGACAGAGCAGATAAAGTCCAGGAGACATGGCAGAGTGAAGGGGCTGAGGCCCCTCTGGAATGTTTGCCTGAAGCCTACATCTCTTCAGACCTGTTCTATATACCTGAGAGGGCAGATGAGCACAGGCTGGGGCCAGAAGAGGCACTGAAGCTGAGGGGACGCACACCTCCCCAAAAAAAGGAGTTCAGTTAAAAGCTTCCCTCTTTGCCTGGATCTGTCCTTCTAACCCTCTGTTTGCAAAAGGTATAATTACCTCCTACTGTGGCCTTTCCTTACCTACAGAAGCAGGTAAAGTAGGAAGAGGGTTAACCACTAGCTTGGTGCATTCACCTGGCCTCTACTATACTGTTTTAGTTTCTTAATGTTAACAACTCAGAGATTTTAAATTTGTATTATTTTTATTGATTCCATTATGGCAAGAAATAATATAGCTCTATGACATAAATATGATGTATTCTGGATCTGAAAAAATTACCTACTACCTGCATCGATGTAGGGCAAATTACCTGATTTCTTGTGCTTAATTTATGTATAAAATGAATGATAGTGTGTCCTTCAGATGGGGTTATTGGAAAGCATAAGTGATATAAAAATGCTGGTTAAAAAAAATAGTAATCTTAATCCCAATACTCAAGATGAAGAGGCAGGTGAATCTCTGAGTTCAAGGCCAGTCTGGTCTACAGAGTGGACAGCCAGGACGGTTACACAGAGAAACTCTGTTGTAAAAAACAAAACAACAACAAAAAATAGCACAAATAAATTAATAGGCCAATAAGTAAATAATCACAACAAGAACCCCCTTTATTTTGAATAATCCTTTCATTCCTAAGTGGAACATTTCCTTCCTTGATCATGTCATTTTAAAATGGCTGGATTTCAGGGCTGGAGAGATGGCTCAGTGGTTAAGATCACTGGCTGCTCTTCCAGAGGACCTGGGTTCAATACCCAGCACCCACATGATAGCTCACAACTATCTGTAATTCCAGTTCCAGGGGACCCAACTCCCATGACAAAAAATAAAAAAACCAATGCACATAAACAAATACATACAAAACCTGGCATTTATATAAAAATTATAATGGCTTGATTTCACTTATAAAAATATCATTTCCTCAATTTTTACACTGATATACACAAGACCAAATTACAGTTTTCTGATGGACTTTGCAGGGTGTGGAATAGTTTGCTCTGGCTTTATAGAATGAACTAAGGAGGGCTTTTGTTTCTATACTATCAAGTAGTTTAAACAGGTTTTTTTTTTCTTCTTTTTTTGATAGGGTTTCTCTGGATAGCCCTGGCTATTCTGGAACTTACTCTGTAGCAGGCTGGCCTCAAACTCAGAAGTCAACCTGTCTCTGATGCCTGAGTGCTGGAATTAAAGATTTGTGCCACCATGGCTGGCTTAAACAACTTTTAATTATAACAGTCCTACAAAGAGTTAAAAAGAATCCACTATGGATGCTCATACTCACTGGTCTCTTTGATTTACTTTTCTATGAGAACTGTGCATCTAGTGCATGCCTGGTGCCTGCACAAGCCAGATCTCCTGGAACCCCGAGTTTCTTCTTTGTTTGACTAAGGTTTTTAAAGCCTCATTTTTTTTTCTTTTTTTTCCCCTGAGTTTGAATACATTAATTTACTTTCTGGAATAGGTATTTTAAGGTTAAAATTCACTTCTAGGTGGCTATTATTCACGTACCTTTTCCAAATTAAAATTGTCTTCAGCTCGATTGTCCTCTGAGTTGTCTGTATTCTTCTCATCATCCCCTTTATCTGCATTTGCAAATACTGAGGCCACTCGAACCACAGGCAAGGGTACATCCCGAGGGACAAATCTAACTGAGCTGATGGGCATTGTCCACAGTTTAATTTTCTTGAAAGACTTGGTTTTAGCAGAGTATCTTGATTCACAGACAAAAACATCCTCATCTCGAAAGTTTTCTGGGCATAATTTAAAGTATTCCTGGGATGGGAATAATAACACAAGTAGGTAAACGTTCTGAAAATTAACCTCCGAAATAAAAAACAAGTGTTACTCAATCAACCTAACATTGAACTATTAAAACTTTCTGACAATAAAAGGTAAATGGCTAGATAACTAGGGGTATTTCCTTGGCTATATATCCTTTAATTATAAATATGAATTCTATTTATTTTGCTGACTGTCCTTTGAAAATATATTACTTTCCATATAGTCAAAATGTTCTCAAAGCTTTTGTACAGGTCTCATGTGCATATATGATAGACAGCACATCTTATTACCACAAACAAAACTGATAATTGGTAATGATTACCTTTCAGAAAACACCATCCTTGGAAAATAGCCCAGCAACATAAAAACATTAATATATTTGTGTGTAGATAAACAGTATACAGCAAATGGTCTCTCACAATTTATTCATGTTAATTTCTTATATACAGACACAGGCTAAAGATGTTCAAAACAAGAGTTTTCTTATTTTTGGCAAGCGCAATGGTGCACACTTGTAATCCCAGCGCTCAGGAGGGAGAGGCAGCCAGATTTTGAGGCCAGCCAAGGCTACACAGAGAAACCTTGTCTCAAACAAACAAACAAACAAACAAACAAAAAAATTATATGTGTCTCTGGATGGTGGTGGCATTCACCTTTAATCCCAGCACTCAGAGGCAAAGACAAGTGTTATCTCTGTGAGTTTGAAGCCAGCCTGGTCTACAAATCATGTTCCAGGACAGCCAGAGCTGTTACACAGAGAAACTCTATCTCGAAGAAACAAACAAACAAACCACCCCCACCCCACAAAAAAAGAATCCCCCCAACCAAAAACAGAGTTTCTAATTTTTTTTAAATACAGAGTTTTATATTTCTAAATTATATTTCCAGGGAATGATATCACTGGCACGAATGAGTTTCTTACCTTGACAAACATGACTACACATTTGCCTAGAATTTTACTAACAGGAACTTTATTGTAATAGTTACTCTTAAAAACTTCTTTTTCCAGAAATTTTCGTGTAGCCAAATGGAATGTTTCATTTGGCCGATAAAACCAACAGCCATACAACCATTTTTCACCTCAAAAACAAAGAAAAGCATTATTAACAGAAATCTCATATTCTTTGCAGAATTAGAAATATTGTATCAAGCCATTATGCCAAGGTTTAAACACTGTGGTTTTAGATAAAATTTCTTTCTTTCTTTTTTTTTTTTTTTTAAGTTTTTTTTTTTTTTTTAGGTATACAAAAAAACATTCTGCTTCCACGTATATCTGCACACCAGAAGAGGGCACCAGATCTCATAACGGATGGTTGTGAGCCACCATGTGGTTGCTGGGAACTGAACTCAGTAACTCTGGAAGAGCAGTCAGTGCTCTTAACCTCTGAGCCATTTCTCCAGCCCTAGATAAGATTTCTTAACAGAATTATTTTAGAGGAAATAGTATTTTAAGAAAAGAAGTATTAAGAACTTAGAAAACAGCATTTCACTCTTTAGATGTAGATCAGAGAGGAGGAGGTCAGAAGGGCTGCTTGGGTCAGTGCATACTAGGGCTCTGTGCTTCCGAAACGAGACAAGTACAGGGAAGGACATTTTAGCAAAAAGGTGGTGGAATCCAAAAGCATTGGATTGCCTATATCACACTTGTACCTGCTGTTAGCTTCATTCTTAATGCCTCAGAAGCAACTTTCTTTATTATTTTAGTTTTCTGTTGAGACAGCTCTCACTATAATCCAGGCTGACCTCAACCTCCTGAGTACTGGGATGGCAGGTATGTGTCACCAAACCAGCTTACAGGTATTTTCTGCCTGCGTGTATGCCTACATACCACAAGAGGGCATCAAATCTCATTATAGATTGTTGTGAAACACCACGTGGTTGTTGGGAGTTGAACTCAGGACCTCTGGAAGAGCAGTTAGTGCTCTTAACCTCTGAGCCATCTCTCCAGTCCCTTAAAGGCATTTTTAAGGGAGGCTTTTTGGCAATAAATTATAAACTCAGTTACATGTAATATTTTACATGTAATCTTTATTTGTGACATTCATTGAAAAAAATTTGCTAGATAAAAACATGAGTGTTTTGTTCTTCTGAATCTTTGCCATCCCACACACATTAAGAAGTTACATTTTTGGCTCATTTGTGGCACTTCCCAATAGTGGTAGATCCCATGTTTGTATACAGTAGGGTGCATAATTATATTTATTGATACAGTTAACAGTGTACTTACTGATATAACTATTGTTGGAACACTTAAATGAGTTGAAATTTTTCTTCCAGAGGATAAAGGAAAAGTAAATATAGCCATATTTCATCAGTCTGCCCTTTAGTTTTTATATTAAAAATGTATATATTTGAATATTTTGCCTGCTTATATGTATGCGTATCATGAATGTGCCTGGTACCTGCAGAAGTCAGAAGAGGGTATGAGATCTCCTGAACTAGAGTAAGGGATGGTTGTGAGCCATGATATAGGTGCTGGGAACTGAACTCAGGCTTCTGCAAGAGTGACTGTAGGGAGACACTGTAACCTGTAGCCAGCCCTTAGGAGGCATGGCTGTAGTGTCTCCCTACAAGTGACAAGTTCTATTAGCCACTAAGCCATCTTTTTAGTACCCGTCCTTCAATTTAAAACAAACTTACCAGCCGAATCCTCCCACAGTCTCTCAATACAGACTATATGTGGTTGTAGATTGGCCTCTGCAGGTTCAACATAGACATAATCTCCAACATGATACATGCTATTCTTAAAGCTGCAGTCTTGGCTGTAGGTACGATGTAAGCCTGAGAGGCCTGCAGTACCTGAGGAATCTTCACTTTTTTCAGCTTCTTGGATTTAAAAGGAAAAAAAAAAAGATATTCAGTAAAAGACTATTAGAAAGTATTCAAACAACACATCACACTAATACAATGGATTCTTTCTTTGCCCTCCCTCCCTCTCTCCCTTTTTTGAGACAGGGTCTCTCTATGTACCCCAAACTACCCTCAAACTTGAGGCCCTCTTGCATTAGCTGCTGGGACTGTAGGGATGAGCCACCATAGCTGACTACACTTAATTATCTGTGTGGCCTTCAAAGAGAGGACTCGGGAAAAATAGTAGCATCAACATATTCTCAATAGTCTTCACCTCAAAATGCATTTTGAGTTTTGAGATGAGGGTCTCACTAAATTGTCTAGTTCTTTAATTCATAGGCTCAAGTGCTCTAGTCCTGCCCCAGCCTTCCAAATAGGTGGAACTATATGTGTTCACCATGATAGCTAGCTCAAAATAGCCTTTCTGAGTGAAAACAAACTGATAATAAATTAAGTAACTATTCTATAGAACAAAAATTATCACCATAATAATATATACTTGCACACTTTATTCATTTATTTATAGTTTTTTGTTTTTGTTTTTGTTTTTCCCCAAGACAGGGTTTCTCTGTGTAGCTTTGGAACCTATCCTGGCACTCGCTCTGGAGACCAGGTTGGACTCGAATTCACAGAGATCCACCTGCCTCTGCCTCCCGAGTGCTGGAATTAAAGGCATGTGCCACCAATGCCTGGAATGTATACTAATTTTTAAGAATTCAGAAAGGCATTACGGAATATATCACATAATTCTACAGAAAATGTGATATGCCTCACATTAAATTTACATTAAATTTAATGGTTACATTAAATTTAATGGCATTTGAGAAAAAATATGTAGGGCATACAATGGTAAACCATATGTGTATAAAACACTAAAAGCATTTCCTCTGAGATGAAATACTTTTAAACAAGATTTTCATTTTGTTAGGCAACATTCCCCCCAACCCCCGCTGTGGAGTAGGGATTGAACCCAGTTCTTTATGCATACTATTTATGAATGCTAGACAAGCACTTTACCAATGAGCTACATTTGTCAAAAAACATCTTTTAATAGTTCCAATACAAGCTATCTGTGAACACTACAGATTATTACTTGTTTAAAAGTAAAACACCCTTGGTATTACTATATAAAGATGATATTCAAATAAAGCACTCTCTGAAATAGCAACTCACAGTTTTTCTGTGAATCTCTCCCCCACACCCCTCTTTTTTTTTTTTTTTTTTTTGAGACAGGGTTTCTCTGTGTAACAGCTCTGGATGTCCTAGAACTCTATTTGTAGACCAGGTTGGCCTCGAACTCAAGATCCATTTGTCTCTGCCTCCCAAGTACTGGGATCAAAGTCATGTGCCACCAACACTCAACTTCTGTGGGTCTCTTATGGAGACTATAACATAAATATAATATTAAATGTAATAGAAAATGGAGCCTGAACAGAATTCTGCTACCATGTCATTTAGCACATAGCCTTTCCATTTAAACTCTAAGCGCTTTTCCTGCATGCTCACCTCCATGACTTTCACTTTTCTTTGACAGAGAACCACCCTAGTGGGGTTCATGGCCAATACCAGCTCCACCAGATTCTGCCACATCAATTTGGCATGGTCCCAGACAAAAAAAATAAGAGCATTTAATTTGTGGTGATGTCTCCTATGAACATTTGGTTCAAATGCTGCTTTTTGACACTATAATCAAACTTTAAAAGTATCAATAACCCCTTTGACAAGTTTTAAGATCAATACAAAGAAATAAAATGTGCATGTGGCAAAGATGCTTTGGTTGAAATTCCACTAAATGTATATTCTAATTTAAAATATTAACAAAAATGTAGCTGAGAAAGATACATCTCATTTAAAAACGTTAACACGTCTATTGAGTCTTGCCTGTGGCTGTTGGTACTGCATTCAGCACTTCACCAGTAGCTCTCCCTGTGTTCCTCACAATCAGAAAACTTGTGCTAACAGACTCGTACCACATCTTTAACTTACTAAGGACAGTTTCCCAAAAACTAAAATGCTGCCAACAAGCATTTTAATTTAAGTGCATATTCCAAATTAATCTCCAAAAGTCTACACCAACTTGAATCCTCACTGTGGATCTAAAGGTTTTGCTAAGTTTTTGAGAATTTTAGACAAACAGAATGAGAAAACTGTACTAATAGGAATAGTATACCAAATGAAAATAAAATTACAACTCTACAGACAAGAAACAAGCCCACCAATTATTGTTATAAACACCTTTCCCAAGGAAGAATTGTGAAGCAGAGTACTGTGCCATGGAGGACACCTCACAATAGCTTCTGTCTAGCTCAATTTAAAAATTAACGAAATCACGTAACACTTTCTTTCATCTCTCCTATTTTAAATTAGAGTAGCTGTAACTATTATCCTATGCATGTATTCGCAGAGGACTATTTTTGTCAACACATCCAAAGTTATAAAGGAATTGTTTGGATGAAGAATCACACCAGACCCTCAATCACACACTGAGATGACTCAGGTGATGAAAAGGGACTTCTGGGCTGAGGGCATTTAGATGAGATATTGACACCAATTTAAATAGGAGCTTGTTAAAACACATGAAAATAATTGGGAACTAAACCACTGAAGAGCAAAGACTGGAAAAAAATTGAGAACATGACAAAACAGACATTTCAAGCAGGTCCAAGCAAACACTATTTGCTTTTTTTTTATCTGACATATTTCATGCAGGACGTCTTCAAAATTCATTAATGCAACATGTGTATTTCATCTTTTATGACTAAATAATATTCCATAGAATGGATATATTATACTTTCCTTATTCACAAGCTCTGCTTGGGGTGTTTCTGCCTTTGACTATTATAAATAATGGTATTTGTTCCTATGTTTGATAATTACAGTACAGTTGTTTTAGTGCTTATTCTGTGTCTATTGATTTTTTGATCATTTTCTGTTCTAGCCATTACTAAAAAAGAGAGAGAGAAATATAACTGTTGAGCTCTTTCATTTCAACTTTGGTTTCTTTTACATGCTCTAAAAAAGATTTAAATTATGTATATTTGTATATGTGTGTATGCATGTGAGTTTTAGTGCCCTTGGAGGCCTGAAGAATGAACTGGATCCCCCTGGAACTGAAATAAGCAGGTGGTTGTGAACTGCCATGGGTGTTGGGAACTAAACTACACTTCTCTAGAAGGGCATGATCTGTTCTTAACTGCTGAGCCACCTCTCTAGCTCATAAATTCATTTTAAAGTGTAATTTATCTAAATAAAACTTTTTTTTCCTGGAATTTTTCATATCACTTCACTGCTTTCTAAGCCTCTGTTATTTTATATAAAAAGTTAGCCATTAATTATGCTGCTGTTTTCTTAGGTCTGATGTCTTATTTTTGCTTTGAAATCCAGATTTTTTTTTCTTCAAGCAGTTTATGATGTATCAAAATGGATCTCTCTCTCTCGCTCTTTTCTCTCTCTCTTTTGTATCTTACTTGAGATTCTTGGGCCTATAGGCTAATGCTTTTCATCAAATTTTCTAAGTTTTACCCAAAACAAAACCCTAGACTACTTACAATAAAATGTTAGTATAAAAATGGACATTCAGTGTTCTATAATCATGACTGCTATTTCTATAACTTTTTCATCACCCCAAATAAAACACTACAGCAATTAAGCAGAAAATTCCCATCCCTCATTCTTGCTCCTGATAACCTTTATCCTACTTTCTCTATGAATTTGCTTATTCTAGATTAAAGGTCTATGCCACCACTGCCCATTCACCAGGTTCTTGTAGCTTTCTCACACATGTATATTTTTGGGACAGTAAGCCTTCAGCTTTACTCAATTCATTTCCATATTAGATGTTTTCAGTTAGAAAAGATATAGGCCCTATCACTCATACATACCATCTTCAATGAGTGTGTTCCCTCTAGCAGCAAGTGATGTTTTTGTAGTTACCTCTATGTTGGCAAAATGACACTCTCAAGAACTGCTATGTTCTCATATTCTCTCTCTCTCTCTCTCTCTCTCTCTCTCTCCCTCTCTCCCTCCCTCCCTCTCTCTCTCTCTCTGCCTCCAAGTCAATTAATTTTGTTTTCTGATCTTGAGGGAAAATATGTAAGAAGGTCTGATGCTACAGAGTAATGCAACTTTTGTAGAGTCATATGTCTGGCTATCTATGTGAACTGAAATGTTACCCACAATGATCAATTTTTGCCAAGGGTGTTGATGTATGCCTATAATCCCAGCATTGGGGGACATAGGCAAGGACGATCACTTTAAAACTGGCACCAGCCTGGGGTACATAGTCAGATCCTGCCTCATTCTCCCACACCCTCATCTCCCCATAAAAGATTTCAATTTGCAATGACAAATTCTCATTATCAAAATATTTGCAAATTTGGCAAATAATTCAAAGTACCCCTTTTAGGTGACATGATTAAAATGAAACTAGGAATGTGGCTCAACTGAAACCTCATCTACTTGCCTGTTTCTCAGTGTTTAAGAGGAACGCTACACTGTTGAAAGGTACAGCATCAACTGCTGCATTTGCTGCTGGGAATGCATGGGAGCCCAGAGTAGCCTGCCAGAACAGATGATGACAACCAGATTTCTATCTGATCACATCTTATTTAAAATAGTCAACAGTCTGAATCTTCAATCACACAAGCTTTCCAAAGCTAACTGTGACACCCACTAGAACACACTTTAATATTTCTTCATATTTAATAAGTGAAAAGGAACCAACCTCTTTTTTCTTCTTCTCGTTTTAGTTTATCTTCCTCTATTTCTTTAGGTAATTTTTCCTTTTTTTCTTTTTCAACATCGTTATGTAAATGTTTTGTGGTATAGCTGAGTGCTGGAGAAAGAAGGATCTCTCCATTTTTGCAGAGTTCATCACGAATTCTAATAAAAAACTGCTGAAGTTCTACTGCATCTTCATATATTTCGGAATCTGTCCTATAACAGCATTAAGAGTATCCATTGACACATGAACTGCTTCTTCCATAATACCTCATTACATCCTAAATCCTATCAAATGGTTCACTATGTTCATTAACATAATAACAATATTTTGGCTCATTTAGAAGGGTGCCCCCACTAAGTTTGTTAAAACAGAGTATCCGAGCCTGGCATGGTGGTATATTTGCGAGGCAGAGGCAGGAGGATCAAGAGTTCAAAGTCATTCTCATTTACATAATAAATTTGAGGCCCAGCTGGGTTACAAGAGACCCTATCTCAAAAATAAAAAAGAATGAATGAAAAAATAAGTACACAAATGAGTATCTGAGTTCTCACCCAGCTTCCTTTTTCTCAAGGCATACGCCTTTCTCACTGATGTCAAAGGAAATGTCTCATATTTTTATCAGTTATACAAAGCACAGCAGAAACAGCTGGCAGAATCAAGAACTGTATGTACTATTGCTCCTGACCAAGTCCAACACTTAGCTTGCATCTATTTGGGGGGCTGGGGCAGGAGTTCTCTGAGTCACCCTGGCTGTCCTGGAACTTGCTCTGTAGACCAGGATGGCCTTGAACTCAGAGAACCATCTGCTTCTGCCTCCCGAGTACTGGGATTAAAGGTGTGAGCCACCACTATCTGCACCATGACTATGTCTATTTTCTTTCTTTCTTTTTTTTTTTTTTTGAGACAGGGTTTCTCTATGGCTTTGGAGGCTGTCCTGAAACTTACTCTTGTAGACCAGGCTGGTCTCAAACTCAAAAACATCTGCCTGCCTCTGCCTCCCGAGAGCTGGGATTCAAGGTGTGCACCACCACTGCCCAGCTTAAACTGATACATTTTAAGCTATTCTTTTTTCTTCTTTCTTCTGGTTTGGTGAGACACTCCCACTTTATACCCCAGGCTGGCCTAAAACTACAAATCCTTCTACCTCAGCTTCCATGTTCTGGGATTACAAGTATAAACCACTATATCGGGCTTGTCAATTCTTTTTAAGAATTTATTATTATTTTTCTTTTTTGTCTGTATGGTGTGTGTATATTCTATGGGTATGTACGTGTTTCATCTGTATGTGTTTATGGGTGTGTGTGCATGTGTGTAGAGATCAAGGTCAGGTCTTTATTACTTTCTACTTTTTTTTTTTTTGAGATAGGGTCTTGTACTTGGAACTCACTGATTGGCTAGACTAGCTGGCTAGGAAGCTCCAAGGATTTCTACCCTCAGCTACAGGGTAGTTACAGGCTTGTGCCAAAATGCTCAGCTTTTTTTTTTAGGTGGGGGTTGGGGATCTGAACTCAGGCCCTCAGGCTTGCATGGCAAGAACTTCACCCACTGAGCATCTCCCAGACCTCTTTTACTAATTCATTTTTGTTCTTGTTGTTGTTGTTGTTTTTTTTTTTTTTTGCGACAGGGTTTCTCTGTTTAACAGCCCTGGCTGTCCTGGAACTTGATTTGTAGACCAGGCTGACCTTGAACTCATAGAGATCTGCCTGCCCCTTCCTCCCGAATGCTGAGATTAAACACCAGTGCCAGATGGTTTTTTAAAAAAAGTGACTGGATTTAGATCACTCTAACCTCAAGGATAACTCAAAGCTTCTTAATTCATTTAAAGCATTCTTGGACTAATTTTCAAAGAAAAATTCTACTTTTTTTGTAAAGATTTATTTATTTATTATATATACAATGTTCTGCCTGCATGTATGCCTGCAGGCAGGGAGAGGGTACCAAATCTCATTATAGATGGTTATGAGCCACCATGTGGGTGCTGGGAATTGAACTCAGGACCTCTGGAAGAGCGGTCAGTGCTCTTAACCTCCAAGCTATCTCTCCAGCCTGAAAAATTCTACTTTTAATTTCTATTACAAACTGTATTACTTAGCCGTTAAAAGACATGTTCTATGAAAGTCTATATTTTAAGTTTCTGCATTGCATAAGAGCTTTAATTGTCTCTTCCTTTCACTGGCACTCATTGGGACAACTTTCCACTTTATAGAATACACAGCTTTTTATAAGCTTTGATACCCCCAACACTATAAAGGGGAAAAATAAAAAAGCTTTGCCTACCAAGAATTCAGGATAACAGGCTACCCACTGTAACAACATACCTAAGGTGAAAAAGTTTATCAAAGCAGAATTTCTTCATCTATTTTGCATTAAACATCACATATTTTCATCATAAAGACATGGTTTTGAAAACATACCTATTCATCCTTCTTGCTCTTTCCAATACTTCAAACATATGCTCCTGAAATAAATCAAGTCGCCGATAGCGATTACTTTCAACATTCTTCCTAATAATGTCAAATGTAAGGGGAGGTTTGTTGGGAAAGTTCGGATCCACAGCAGGAATTTCTGCTAAGGAGTCACTGTAACATCTTCCCTCATCATCCTGATGACTCATGACTGACACAAAAAGATTATGGATAAGTTCTTGAATCAGCAAGGTCACATTTGGGACATGAGAATCCTCATCTCCCTCCAGGTCTCTCCGGGTTTCAAGGAGGACTTTATGTAGGACAAGAGCATCTTTGTAGATTAAAGACTCTGGTTCATTGTAGGTACAGGCATTATTAAACATCATGACAAAGTCCTCTACCATAGAATCTATATCTTGGTATTTGTTTGCCATCATGTGACTTCGAATTTTTTCCATGTCCATGGGTTTTTTAATGGTCAGATAGTAGTCAGGCAGCTCTGATCTAGAGGGGAGTCTTAGAAATATAGCACTGAGACGGCGACCCCTCTTATCAGTATAGTTCTTTACAGCTTCATACACTTCATTTAGCTTCTGCTGCATTGGAGTCATGTACTTTGATTTCTTAGGAGAAACACCACTCTTTCTACCTGAAGAGAGAGATGTAATATAAAGTGGATAAAATGGTGTAAACGTAAATTTTTACACAGCTGGTAGTACAACCATAAAAAAGGGGATATCCCAAATGATTTGTAAAAACACAGTAATCAGCATATCTTCAATTAGACAGATCTTATATCAAAAATAGATTTGGACGAAAACCTTTACTCTGTTGAATATACTTTATATACATAAACATAAACAATACATTTATTTATAAACAAAATTTATGTATGTATACAAACTTTGAGAATGCGTCTCACTATATAACACAGTTGGGCTTTGAACTCTCCACCTTCCTGCCTCAGCCCTAAGGGCTGGGATTAAAGGTGGATGAATAACATAAACTAGTAATCTTTTTTTTTTTTTTTCCCTGAGACAGGGTTTCTCCGTGTAACAGCTCTGACTGTCCCAAAACTTGCTTTATAGACCAGGCTGGCCTCAAACTCACAAGGATCCACCTGCCTCTGCCTTTCAAGTGCTGAGATTATAGGTGTATGCCATCAACACCCAGCTAGTAATCATACTTTTATGCTGAGATAACTGTGAAAAGGTTAAGTAAATGATTATCTCTGTGACATTCTAATGCTATCACCTCTATCTTCCCAGAGAACGAGCAATTTCATTATAGGAAAAAGACAAAGATGCTGAAACAAACTGAAGTGTTGATAAAATTCTTGAAACTTGAATATGAAAATATCAATTGAGTTTAGCATGTTTTATCTCTAAATATAAACTCACATTTTTCCTAGTTCCAGTCATGGAAATGATCACCAAATCCGTAATAGGATATCCCCAAACTAGTCTGTTTGTTATAGACAGAGCCTCAAATAGCCAAGGCTGACCTCAAACTCACTATGTAGAGGAGGCTCACCTTGAACTTCTGATCATCTTGCCTCCACCTCCCCAAGGCTGGGCATACAGGCATGTGCCTTCATGCTTGGCTATGTGTATGCTTTTATAATTACATGAAAAGATGAATTCCTTAATGACAAAAGATCATCATTTAGCAGAAGTTTACAAGCGATAGTGAAATTCAGTTTATAGGTAGTTTACATAAAAAAGATGCTAGTCTTTCTCCTTTGAAGTAAATACAACTCTAAAGATTATCTGACATCGTTGTTTGCTTAGCATTTGTTTAAGATTATTTGAAATTGTCGTTTATTTGGCATTTGTTTCACTTATATACATCTTAAAAAGATCAGAAATATCTTCCTTAATTCAATGGTATTTTACTATGTTTTTTTTCCTTTAAAACTTTCAATAAAATCATATCCAAAAATAGGGTACTCAGACAGTCACTGAGTAGTTAGTACATTTCTCACCTCCCAAATTCTACCCAGTAGAATTTTATGAAACACGAAACAAATATTAACAAAAACATACCATATTCTTTTTTTGGCATCTAATAAGGAATAGATAGTTTTCCCATTTAATGGCTATGTTACCTACTGCATTCCAGAGAGCAAGGAAAGCCTCTGCCATTATATTCAAGCTCTCTTTTTTTATGGTTTAGATATGAAGTAGCCTTGAAATGTTCCTCATAGAAGACTTGGAATCCAAATGGTGGACACAATCATTGAGAGTTACTGACCACAAGAGCTCTGCTTTTATCAATAGATTACTTACTTGATGGAGTCATAATCTGATAGCAGTACTGGGAGGTGGGGCTAGGTTGGAGTAAGTGGGTCACTTGGCACGTAAGTGCCTCCACGACTTTCTCTCTACTCCATGAGTTAAGCAAATCTGCAATTCTGTGTCCTTCTTACATGATGTTCTATTTTACTATAGCTCAAGAACAATGGAGATTGAACTTTTGAAGTTGTATCAAAATGGAATCCTTTCTCATTTTCACCGTCAGATATTCAGTCCCATCAATAAAAAGCTAATAGTCTGATAGTCTTGTTTACTTAAAACACAAAGACTGTGCATGTGAAGAAGATATCTAACAGCAGAGTGCCAGCAAAAAAAAAAACATAATCATCATTTAATCAAAGAAATGTCAAGAAATCAGCAATCTCTTTGACAGTCTAAGCTAAAGAGCAAAATATAAGGCAGACTTACTCTGCTTAAGCTTGGGAGAAGCCATGTCATCATCATCAGGTAGTGGTCCCAGCTCTTTCCTTTTATCTTTGAGTAACTTCTCCAGGATATGAGCATCATTGTATACCTACATTCCAAAAAGTACACTTAAGATTATTTCCTAAAAACACTATAATTAAGGAGTAAAGAAGTTTTAATCTCTCTGAAGGTGGTGACATATAAATTAATTACCAGCACACAGGAAGCTGAAAAATCACAAGTTTGAGGCCATTATCAAGTTTACAAAATGAAACCCTATCTTCAATATCAAAAACACCAACTAACAAATAAAAAAATATTTGTGAATGTGTTTAAAACATGGTTTAGGGCAGCTGATGTTACATGTTTCCATTCTCATCAGAACAATAGCATTACTATCTTAATGGAAAGGATCTACTATGAGGCTTTCTGGGTGATTCTAATGTATAGAAATGCATGGTAGTAAGCCAAGCATGGTGGCCCTACCTTTAATCCCAGCACTCAGGAGGCAGAGGCAGGTGGATGGATTTCTGTGAGTTCATGGCCAGCCTCATCTACAGAGCAAGTTCCAGGACAGCAAGAGCTATTACAAAGAGAAACCCTGTCTCAAAAAAAGAAAGAAACAAACAAAGAAAGAGGGAGATAGAAAGAGAGAGAGAAAAAAAAGAAATTCAAGCTAGTATCTGAGATTCACTAAGGTAGATGTTTCATAGATTTTTTATTTCCTGTGTCTGGGTGCTAAGCCCGCCTGTGTATGTAGAATCCAGAAGAAGGTACTACATTCCTGGAACTGTAGTGACAGAGGGTACAGCGAACTGAATGAAAAGTCATCTGGAAGACTAGTCAGTGCTCTTAACCACTGAGTCATTTCTCTGAGTCTCAGTTTTGCAGGTTTTAACAGATCTTCCAAAACACTTTTATATGTGTCAATTTCCTAAAACAAACAAACAAAATTCCCATTTTTTCTACTGGATCTCCAAGGCACCTGACTCAACCCAGTGGAAATCCAAGACTGAAAATATCCGTCCAAAGACTGACACACTCATGGCAATATACAGCCAAGAACAAGGTTCTTCACTCAATGGTCTTGCTCCACAGTTGCCTCCTATCTCCCCAGAAGAGGCTGTATTTCCTTGAATGCCCACAAGAGCAGAGTGGCAGAAGGAATGTGACTTTTCTTCTCTGATTATCCCTTTAAAGGGTGTACAGTAGCCAGGGATCCTGAAGACAGCATGGATATTATATAAAGGCCTATTTCTTCGATCTACAAATATCCTTAGCATGTATATTTTAATTCAAATTATAGGCAGAAAAAGGAAATAATTTGATAATGTTTTTTGAATATTTAAAACGGATAAAGATATGAAATAGAAAATATATCAAAGGAAGATCATACATTGGCTATATTGATAAAGAATTAAAAATCACAGGCTAAAGATATAGCTAAATGGCAGAGAACACATAAAAGTCCTGGGCTCAACTGATCCCAGAAGCACCTTCCCAACCCCTCAAAAAACAAACAAAGGGGCTAGACACAAGACTCAGCTACAAAAGTAATTAATGCTCTTGCAGAAGACCTGAGTTCAGTTCACAGCACCCATGTTATGCAGCTCAAAATTATCTGTAACTCCAGTTCCAAGGGATTCAACACCCTCTTCTGACCTTAACACCAGGCCCACACGTGATGCATATACATACAGGCAAAATACTCATACACATAAACCAAAAATAGGCCTTTAAGAAGTAATAAAAAGATAAACATTTTAATGTATTGGCTTTTCTTGGAGTACATATTCGGTATTAAGTGCTATTCTCCAAACTCAATTATTTCTTTTAGTTTTTGGAGACAGACTTTCTCTGTAACAGCCCTGGCTGTCCTGCAACTCACTTAGCAGTCCACATTGACCTTGAACTCACAGAGATCCACCTGTCTCTGCGTCCCGAGAGCTGGGAATAAAGGTGTGTGTCACCACTGCCTGGCCAGTAATTTTTTTATCCTACAAAACTCCAGAGAAGAGCTGGAGAGATAGCTTAGGCTAAGAGTACTGGCTGCACTTCCAGAGGTCCTGAGTTCAATTCCCAGCAACAACATGGTGGCACACAACCATCCATAATAAGATCTGATGACCTCTTCTGGTGATCATCCATAAAATATTGGGGGTAGTGGGAGGACAGGAGGAATAAGGGAACTGGAATTGGTATGTAAAATAAGATTGACTTTAATTTAAATAGAAAATTAAAAAAAAAAAAACTCTCAAGAGGTCGGGATCAGGCTGATGAAACCCACAGAAACAGCTGACCTGAACAAGGGGGAGCACAGGGACCTCAGACGGATATCTGGGAGGCCAGCACGGGACTGATCCAGACCCCATGAATGTGGATGTCAATGAGGAGGCCTCAGCACTCTATGGGGCCCCTAGTAGTGGATCAGTATTTACCCCTGCTTTAAGAAGAAACTTTGGGAGCCCATCCCACATGGAGGGATGCTCTCTCAGCCTGGACACATGGGGGAGGGCCTAGGCCCTGCCCAGGATGATATGACTGATTTTGGGGAACCCCCATGGAGGGCCTCACAATCCTGGGGAGCAGAGGGGGGATGAGGTGGGGGGCTGTTTGGGATTGGGGGGAGGGGAGGGAGAAGGGATTGACATGTGAAGCAGCCTTGTTTCTAATTTGAACTAATAAAAAAAACCCTCAAGAGTAAGTACTATTATTATTATTTCTTAATTATATACAAGGAAACTAAGGTTTAAGAAGAAAAATTTCCTTACACAGAAATGGGCAAAACAGGAAGCATCTAAAACATTTATTTATTTATTTTAAACTTTTTTTTGAGACAGGGTTTCTCTGTGTAGCTCTGACTGTCCTGGAATTTATTCTGTAGACCAGGCTGGTCTCAAACTCACAGAAATCTGCCTGCCTCTGCTTCCCAAGTGGTGGGATTAAAGGTGTGCACCACTTAAAACATTCATCTTTTTATTACCATCATCATCACTTTAGTTTTTTTTGGTTTTTTTGGTTTTTCCAGACAGGGTTTCTCTGTGTAGCTTTGGAGCCTATCCTGGCACTCGCTCTGGAGACCAGGCTGGCCTCAAACTCACAGAGATCCACCTGCCTCTGCCTCCCGAGTGCTGAGATTAAAGGCGTGAGCCACCAACGCCTGGCCACTTTAGTTTTTTGAGATCAAATATTTCTTATATAGCCTGGCTAGCCTAGAACTAAGAAGAAGACCACACTGATCTTAATTAAATTCAAGAGATCCACCTGCCTCTGCTTCCCAAGTGTTGGGACTACAGTGCACACCCTTACACCTAGCTATTTTATATATGTGTGTATTCATGATGCAGGCCAGAGTTGATGTTGGATGTCTTCCTTGATCACTTCTCCACCTTTTTTTTCTTTGAGATAGGGTCTTCTCAATGAACCTGGAACTCAATCCGACTAAACTGACCGACAGTCCCAGGGATCCTTTGGCTTCACCTCCCAGCACTGGGATTATAGGTATGTACTGCTGCATCTGACTGTTAACACTGGGTGATGATGGGACCCGAACTTAGGTAATCAGGTATGCAGAGTATGTACTTTACAGACTAAACCAGCTCCCCAACACAAAGCAGGATAAAAATTTAGGTGCCAGTTAAGTGCATAGGAAACCAAAGAAAGGTATTAGGTATCTTTTTCAATCATGTTCTGTCTTATCTCACTGACTTTCAGTAAGGCTGGCTAGCCAGCAAGCCCTCAGGATCATCTTGTCTCTTCCTCAGTGTTAGGGATATAGGGATATAGGCATGTGCATATAGGTTATGGCTTGCTGGCCACTCAGCCTAGCTGAAAGTCAAAGTCAGAGAGAGAGACGGGGCCAGGGGCCAGAGGACAACACTGAGACAGAAAGAACCTAGCTCCGATCTTTCAAAACACATTATTCTACAGAAAAAAGCATTCACTCTAGGATTCCCCTTATTACCTGGGAGCCCTCCTCATTGTAGTGCCTGGCATTTCGGAACATGAGTTTCATGTCTTCCATCATTCCTTCTTCACCTGCATATTTGTCATTTCGGATGTTATGCTCAATTATTTTCAGGTCCATTGGCTCTAAGATGATTTTATAGTAATCAGGATAGTCCTTCTTGGATGGCTTAACCATAAATAGATCACAAAGTCTTCTGCCTGAACCTGGCTCTCGAGCTTCAAGAACAACATTGAATAAAATTTTCATTCGCTGTTTTCTTATGTTCTTTTTACTGTTGAGGGGAAGGTAGAAAAGGGGGGGGGGAAAGACAGGGTCAGTTTTCTTTATCCAAGGGTGATCACAAAATAAAATAAATTTGTGGGCAGGTACTTCGTAATGATTACAATGTATTGATTAGATGTGCCATAAACACAGTATGCACCCTGGAAAGGTATAAGAGAATATTAAGACAATTTATAAAATGATTATAACAGTGATCCTGGCAGGAACAACCAGTGACAAACCTGTTTCGAATAGCTCTAGAAATGTAATGTTGAACACAAGATACTGTGTGATATCATAAGAAAATGAAACTTAATAACCAACTGAAATACTTTGGGTTTTGAGACAATGTAATAAAACCAGCTATTCAATTTCTAAAGACACACAACACAAAACAAACCAACAGTGTTTCATCTCTTAAAATAGCTACTCCTAGCCAGGCGGTGGTGGCACATGCCTTTAATCCCAGCACTTGGGAGGCAGAGGCAGGCGGATCTCTGTGAGTTCGAGCCCAGCGTGGTCTACAGAACTAGTTTCAGGACACCCAGAGTTGTCACTCAGAGAAACTGTGTCTTAAAAAACAAAACAAAACAAAAAAGATAAAAAAAGAAAGATAGCTATTTCTAAACAGAATATTCTGGATGCCAGGAATAACACCCCCAAACCACAACAAATGTCTTCATAGAAGGTAAAACCTCTCTGGCATTGATCATGTCAGGAGCAGACCTTGCTTATCCCTTTATCCAGCATCCCTGTCTAATCCAAGGTAGCTTGAAGTAGTCTGTGGTTCATCTGAGCTCTCTCTAAAGTTTTAGCCTTCAGCATGTATTCTTGCCTTTCTGTAGAGTCCATCATCAAGATAAGATCCTGAAAAACTGATATGAGTGGCACAGAACAAAGTACAAGAACAACATTAACACTAGAGTTTAAAAGGGGTCTTACTTAACTGTTATGAAAACCAGCCCAGAGGCTAAATGAAATGTTTAAGGTGAATGGTTCATAAACCATTAAAAGAATTCATTTTCTACTTTGACTTCTGTCAATTGTATTATGTCATCAAGGTACTGATAAATTCTAGCTAGTTTGCCCACCAGTCTCCAAGTGGTCAGGCACATAAAAATGGAGAGGACTTAAAATTTAGTTTCTAGTCTATTAAAAAAACCTGCTAAGATCCTATAATATAGTACACAGAGGCAAATTTTAGTTGTTTTCCATCTTATAAGGGGAAGGAAGTAGTTCATTACTAAAGAAAATTATATAGCTTTGAGTCTCTTAAGCCCAGTCCTCAGACTAGTTTCACTCTCCTTCTGGGTCATGATACACTGCCTCAATTTAAGGTATGTTTTTAAAAACTAGAAATAGAAGCCAAGCATGGTAGTACATATTTGTAATTCTAGCACTTAGGAGGTGGAAGCAAGAGGTTCAGGATTCCAAGATCATCCTTGCATTCATAGAGAGTTTAGGCAAACTTGATCTATATGATGTGGGGGTGGGGTTGGAGAAGAGGGGAAAGGAGGGAGGGGAGAGAAAGATCATGTGTGCATTTGTGTATATATAACGTGTGTGCTCAAATAATAATCAGCAATTTAAAACCCACACACTGGCCAGCCAGTGGTGGTACACGCCTTTGATCCCAGTACTTAGGAGGCAAAGGCAGGTGGATCTCTGTGAGTTCGAGGTCAGCCTGGTCTGCAGAACAAGTCCCAGAGTTCTAGTACAACCAGGGCTACACAGAGAAACCCTATTTCAAAAAACAAACACCCAGACACCCTTCAGTTTCAGAAATGTCTACCTACAATGATGGAGCTCATGACAAATTGAAAATGACCTAACAGAAGAGAGAGAGAGAGAGACAGAGACAGAGAGAACTTCTGGTTCCCAGAATTGGGCCCATCCTCATTACCAAGTCTCTACTTTGACCTCCTCCTCTGGGGCCCTGTGATCATTCTGCAAATCTCTCCTTCAGATCTTTTGTGTCTCTCAGTCAAGTAAATTGTTGTTAGCTAACCTCAGAGATAGTTAATCTAGTGGATACTATTTCCTCAAGAAGCAATATGGGCCGGGTACTAGCGGCACACGCCTTTAATCCCAGCACTCGGGAGGCAGATGCAGGTGCATCTCAGTGAGTTTGAGGACAGCCTGGTCTACAAAGTGAGTTTCAGAAGCTGTTACATAGAGAAACCCTGCTTTGAAAAACCGGAGGGGAGGGGGAGAAATATGGGACAATGATGTGAAGTTGTTCTTGATTTCTAGATCTGTGGCTAATCAAGAGGGACAAAGTTCCAAATGACAGAGCTTCACATTGAGGCAAGACAACTTTAACTTTCAGAGACTGAGAAGAAATTTCAGAACTTGAATTAAAACTCACAGAAGTCATACTTTAAACCAAGTCACATCTGACTTGTTTAGAAATGTCTAACATGTAGAGCTTGACTTTAAAAGGAAGATGGAAGAACTCAGCTTTGAAATGTTAGGCTTAAAAGAGAGCTCATTAGTTAACTCAGAAAGAATCAGTTCATCATTCCCAAAGTTCCAAGAAGCAGAACACTTCAGTTAAAGTCCAGACCTGAACCAGGACATTAACTTTATTGTCTTCCAGGATTCCCAATTATCAGGAGACTTTTCTGTATGACGCTACAAGCATTTTCATTTGGGACTGAATCTGTGGCAGACCTTAATGAGATTTTAAAGACAAAGTTTTTAACTGGATTTTGTAAAGTAAAATAGCAAATGGTCCATTCTCTCAATGTCAATTAATCCTAACACTTGGTAGCTGTAAGTGGGTCATATCCAGAATGTGAATATACCTTAAAAATTGTTCTAATCTAGTGACTGTAATTTCTTTTCTTTACTTATATCATGATGAATATATACTTGGTTTACAGTCTCAGAGGGGAAAACAAAACTATTACTAGAGTCACACATGACCTTTTTTTTTTTTTTTGACAAATCCAGGTTTGTTACTTCGTTTTCACTTTTCTAAATCCTTACATATTGCCTTGAGACTGAGAACCACCGGTCCAGTCAAACTTCAGGACTGACCTTACATAACAACGGTGTTAAATTTAGTGGCTGCTATTTTTATCTCTCTCCAATATGTACAGTGAACCTTATTACATAGATGACTTCTGAAAGCTTCATATACTTTGTGGAATGAGATAAATCCTATATTACAAAAGTACAGAAACTTCGGCTCCTCCCACTCCACATTTCTGGCCATTTTCTTTTTTATTATCTTTATTAACATTTGTGTGCACGCGTGCACACACACATACGCGTGCGCGCGCACACACACACACACACACACACACAGAGAGAGAGAGAGAGAGAGAGAGAGAGAGAGAGAGAGAGAGAGAGAGAGAGAGAGAGAGAGAGAGAGAGAGAGAGAGAGAGAGAGTGATTGTATGCCATGTGTGTTCAGGCGCCCACAGAGGCCAGAAGGTGGCACTGGATCCCCTGGACCTGGAATTACAGGTAGCTGTGAACTATCTGATGTAAGTTCTGGGAACCAAACTCAAGTCTCTAAGAAGAACAGCAAGTTCTTTTAATCACAGAGTCACCTCTCCAGCCCTATTTCTGTCCATTCCCAATGTCACTTTGCTTTTCAGGATCATTCTTAGAAACAGAAATTCTATACCTTCACCTCTGTTAAGCTAATAATAACTAATATTTTGGTATTCTTCATTTTTGGAAAGGTACATAAAAACAGGTCCCACATCTTTTAACCAGCATGAACATTCACTGAGAATCAGTACCTTGCAGATATTAAAGTAAAATCATCTTGTTTCTTTCCTCCTTGAGATAGAGTCTCACAATGTGAGCTAGCCTAGAATTCTAGAATTCTTGTCCCAGTATTGCTGTGAGTATAGACATCTGGTTACTATCATGCCTGGCTAAAACACTATTTTCCTGACAAAATCTCATACTATACAGCCTAGGCTGGAGTCAAACTCAGAATCCTCCTGCCTCTGTTTCTCAAGGGTGGAGATTACAGTGTGAGCCACAATGTACAACTAAAATACATCTTAAGGGAACTCAAAATCAAGACTATTCATCATTGTGTACTTAAGGAGATTCCAAGCCAAATTATACACACTACTGTAATAAAGACAATTTTAGAAGAGATTGGCCATAAAAGGTCCTGTACTAAGAGTATCAGGATAGTAGAACAAGCTTCTAACACATACAGATGAGTGCCTTTTCTAATGTATACAATGATTATAAGTAAGAAGGGACTCTTGTTCTGAATCTCCTTTAAAACAAAACAAACAAGAACAAAAAACCAGGTTCTCATATTATAACCCATGCTAGCTTCAAATTGATAGTGATTCCCCTTCCTGAGCCTCTTGAATGATGATTATGGGAGTGAGCCATTATACCTAAGAATGCCTCTAACTGTAGTCCCAGACAATCTGACACCCTCTTTGGTTCCTGTGGCTACCCCATGTACATGGTGCACAGACACCCATGTGGACAGAACATCCATACACATAAAATAAAAATACATCTAAAAAAAAAAAACCCACTATATAGTTATCATTCAACACCATAATATGGCAACTTGGAAGTTGTACCGAAAACCTTAAATAATGTACAAAAGATGCCTTAAAGAAATGGATGCTTTTAAGAAGTAAGATGTAGACAGGATCAAAGACTAAGAAACTTAACAAGAAGCACTAGCCCAACACAATGCACTAGTGCCTACTAGTGGTTGGATTGTCAATGTTGATTCTGACCTTTCCACCATCTCAGTCAGTAGGGCATTCCTAAGATGCAATCAGCACCCACAAGCCCATGTCACTATGCTAGCTTCTACCTCTTGCTAAAGAAGCACAGCCATAATGATAAGTGAGAGGGCTGTCTGCCCCTGGAGAAGGAAGCCAGCAACAAAATTAAGGCAGTAATGACCATATGGAGGCTAATTTTGACACACTAACAAGACTTCTAAACAGTATTGCTTTCTTTACTCATAAAATAAACTGGCATCCCAAATACTTGTTTCACATGCATAAAGTATTCTCATAGTGTCAGTAGTGACCATTTCACAGAAGAATTACACTTTTAAAAGTATGTTTATGCATAAAAAAGGTCTGCACACCTGGATAGCCTCCTGAGACCCAACATCTCACTGTCATGAGTATTCCTGGGAAAGCAGAAACAAACAATACATGTGAAGAGAAATAAAACAAGCAACATTGGAGGGTCATGCATAAGCCAAAAATGATTGAGAAAAAGAAGATTATTTGGTCCAAAAGATAAAAGATCAAACACTTGAAACATTTCAACACAGAAACAGAAAGCAGATTTTTGGTAGGTAGAAAGTAGGGGAAAGGATGCATTTCCAGAATGAAGAGAATATATACCCACAAACCAATTTTTTAAAACAGACTTTCAGTATTAAAAAATAAAGCAAAAATAGAATCAGACACATTATTTAGAAGTAGAGTAGTATTTGGAAAACATGGCTCTGACATCTCTGGCCAAGCTCATGTTTGCTTAACTTCTGAGGAAACCCATTTACTATCAAAACCTTTTAACTAAAAGGTTCATCACTTTGTTACTGATCAATAGGACTTAATTCTCTGTGTTTAAATATCCACATATGCTTGCAGCCCAAACCTGGAATAGATTTTTTTAATTGTTTTGGTAATTTATGGTTCTTGCCACTTTTTTTTTTTTTACTTTAGTATATGAACCATTTCCTAGGAAACCTATTCACAAGGAGACTTTTGTCTGAAATATGATCTAATAATTTTAATAACATATAGCTTAGTGTTCTTTCTATAGGAAGTTGAAGGGCAATAACTTCATCTACTTGAACTATACCACAAGCTACAGGCCCCAGAAATAGGTAAGTTTTAAGTATCTAGCCTATGTTGATGCTTCTTTGGAACTGCTTCCTAACACTCAACTTATTTAAAAGCGTTTTCTCCAATGCTGGTGCTAATTGCACCATCATTTTTGCCTCCATTACCTTCTTTTGCCTGAGAAGTTTCTATCTTTGATTGGTGACTGATCTTACTCAAAGATGTTCTTGATTTGATGTCTCTGATCTGGTTTCACATTTTTCCTCCGTTGTCCCTGGTATAACAAGGAATTAAGAACTTGGAAGGATGAAATTCACAGGCCAATAATGGAGGAGACTTGCATCTCAGGGTACACCAACCAATTTAGCTAACACCGAACAGATTTGCAGTTATTTTCCAAGTTAAAAACTGTTTCCCAGCTGCTGTTTAAGAGGGAACGACAAGGCAGCTTTTCGCTCCTGAATCACATTTCATAACCTTCTGATTTTAGTGAATCTTTTAATGCAAATACAGAAATGTCAAAAAATGAACTGGCTTCTTCATTCAATTGTGAGTCTGTCAAGCCCTGCTAATAATGATTAGCTTATTTCTTGTTCAAGGAATTCTCCCAGACTGACTGTTGCTACAAAGAATGTAAATCTTCAGGGAGAGTATAGTGTTCCACAATGATCAGGCCAGAGAAATTCCAAGAGATGGTCTTGAATGATTTCTGATAAGAGCCTAGCTTCAGAATCTCAGTGAAGTTCCTCTCCTTAAAACCAGTTAGGGAAGAAAAGGATTAGGGGAGTTGAGAGGATAGTTAGGGGAAAAAAAAAAACAAAAACAAAAAACCTCCCAAATAATCAGCTTAACATTTTATTGCCTGTAACACCTATGATTTGATAGTCTCAAAACCGTAAGAAAAGACCATGTTGATAAGGAAAAGCAAGATCCGAACAGTGACTTATTTCACTGCAGCAGCATAGCTGACTTACTCCTTACCTTTCTTCATTACTACTCCATTTTTTGCAATTCAGCATGAAACAGTTATCTAAGACTTAAGTGGCACTTTGAAAATGCCGCCTTAAAAAAGAAATCTGGATAGCAAAAAGAATAATATGTTTTCCCAAGCTACATGTCATTTTTCTGTCATCTAAAAGCAATACAATAGTTGTAAAAAAACAAAAACAAAACCTACTAACCGACTTACAAATGAATTGGAAGACATACTATCAAAGACATGCTATCAAAGCTTTTAGAAGAATTCATACTTCATAGCTTACATGTTTTTCTGCATTTATCTGAAATAAAGTAAGAACTGAGCTGGTTCCAGATATGAGAAGAACATATACCTTTTTCTTTTGGCACTACCAGTATCAGAAGTAGCGGAAGAGATCATGCTGTCTCCATCCTCAATGTCATCTCTCCTGGCAAGCTCTTTCTTCTTTGCCTGAAATAGAGCAGATGCTAGGAATCAGCCTCACACTATGACTATATGAATGCTAAACAACTAGGCATATCACATTCATTCAGAGAGATACAACCTCACATAGAATGTACAAAACTGGATAGTCTTTAAATATTTTTAATAACCTAATTTAACAAAAGCCCGAAAGACAGAAAACTAGGTTAAAAAATGGAATCAGACTAAAAATCAATGCTACTTAGAGCATTTATGATTATCAATGGCATGGTATAGTTAAAAGTTCTAAGGTGAGCTGTGGAGGTCAGCTGGCCCTGCAGCCCATATGTAAGTTAAACTAACTTAGAGGGGGCCTTTGGCATCTGATTATTTCTTCTTCTTCTTCTTCTTCTTCTTCTTCTTCTTCTTCTTCTTCTTCTTCTTCTTCTTCTTCTTCTTCTTCTTCTTCTTTTTGATTTTTCGAGACAGTTTCTCTGTGTAGCCCTGGCTGTCCTGGAACTCACTCTGTAGACCAGGCTGGCCTAGAACTCAGAGATCTACCTGACTCTTCCTCCTGAGTGGTGGGATTAAAGGCATGGGCCACTACCAACCTGGCTTGGCATCTGATTTCTAAGCAGAAGTATGGCAAAGAAAAAAAGGTTTAAGAGTGAGAGGTGAAAACTTAGATCTACTAGCTTTCATTACACACCTAGCAAACACAGCTAAAAAGCTCAACACAGCAAGCTTAGAGAACAGACAGACTACAGCAGAAGCCTGAAATTCACATCACTGAGAAGCAGTGCTGACCAGAAAATAAACAAATAAAAAATGAACAGAAAACAAATAAATAAATAAAGGCTCTACATTTAATTAAAACTGCCTTTGCTTCTTTGGTTCAAGATTATTCTTGCATCCAGAAATATTTTACCAAAAACGGAGACAGAGGCCAGCAAGATGGTTCAGCGGGTGAATGCATTTGGCGACAAGTCTGATGATTTGAGTTTGACTTTCTGGATTCACATGGTAGAAGGAAAGAACTGACTCCTACAAACTGTACTCTGACCAGCCTCCTGCCACCAAACAAATGAAAAACACAAACAAAACCTAACAAGAACAAGAAGAAAAAACTCACATGTAAGACAGAGTTAATCTGGAATTCGACTGTAAACCAGGCTGGCCTTGACCTCAGAGATTGCCCATCTCTGCCTCCCAAGTGCTGGGATTAAAGGTGTGCACACCACCTCCTGGCCTGGGCTACTCTGTATTTCATATTTACCTTTTTGTCAGATGTTCTTTCTCCTCCCCTTCTCTCCCCAGAGCACTCAAGCCCTGTTATACAGCACAACCTGGCTGGAATACTAGGGTCTTTTTGCCTTAGTCTCCTCCTGAGTGCTGAGATCACAGGTATGCTAACTACCAGGCCCACAAAGACCATCCCTATATTAACAAAGTTTAGAACCAAAAGAATAAACTATAGATGGAACAATAACCATCTGGAATTGAAGAGTAACTTCCCAAGAATCCTGAAACTGGCTTTCCCCACAGTCAAATCCTTACTTCCTCTACTACAAAGTTTATGGTATTTAAAATATTATTCTTCTCTACAGGGCTCTAATAAGTATAAAAAATATTCAACAGTATTTGTAGTAGAAACAAATGACTCAACATTCTTGGGGTGGAGACGGAGGACACAGATCTCAAAATGACACCCTAAACACATGAAACTAATTCAGTGATACAACAAACAGCAACAAACCTGCATGACTTGCTGCAATTTCAGAACTCGCTTATAGATGGTTGAATTGGGAACATTATAGCGTTTGGCATTTTCAAACATTAAATTCAGATCACAGTCCAAATGATCTAAAGTTTCATATTCTTGGTTCTTTAGTTTTGTTCTGTGAAAGACAAATAAATGATTAAAGTTTCTGTTATGAAAATTATCAAACATCCTTCCTGAAAGTTCACCACAAAAGCTTTCATAAGCACCACATGTTTTTATTAGCCACTTGTCACTGGCTTTCAAGTTAAAAAGTAAGATCTAAAGCTATTAGACAGTATCACAGTTTACCTGAAAACCCAAAAGGATAAATTAAAGAATTTAGTAAAGTGGTCAAGTATGAAAGTAAATACACTATGAAAATGCCAGTGGAAAAACTCTGAGAAATGAAAATTAGATTTTACACTAATTCAATGAATCACCCTTGTAAGGATTATGCTGGCCTGCCCTGTCACCTGGCAGAATGCACTCAGGTAATACCCTGGGCAGCACAGGGTTCCATAACTACTAGTCAGCACCAGGTACAAAGGACCCCTTTAAAAGACAGACCTCCACCCACTTATTCTCTCTTTCCCATTGTTCCCCTGGGGTGCTTATGAAAGCTTTTGTGGTGAACTTTCAGGAAGGATGTTTGGCTGTCCTCTTCTCCTCTGTCCTCTCCCTGTTTCTGTGTCTCTTTACCTCTTTTCTCTTTCCTTCTCCCCGCCCCCACCGCCGCCCCCTTCTAATATAACTTTTCAGTTAAGCCCTGTCTGCCTGTCATGTTTGTCCCTCCATCTCAGTTGCTTGCCATGGAATCCACCAAGGTTTCCCCAAGCGCATTATCCCTGACAGCCGTGAACTACTGATTTCTGAAAATTAGGATGCCATTGCAGTTCATACACTAGTGATAAGGTTCTGAAAAAGCATTCAGAATAACACATTTACCTCCAAAGGAGCCACACAGAGTGAAGGGGGCTCTCATGATGGGAAACATGAGGTAGATCTGTCAGAGTTTTATTTACTACTATTCTTTCAGCAAAGCCATTTACTTGTTTATTTATTTATTTGGTTTTTCGAGACAGGGCTTCTCTGCGAAACAGTCCCTGCTATCTTGGAACTCACTCCATAGACCAGGCTGGTCTCGAACTCATAGAGATACTCCTGCCTCTACCTCCCCAGTGCTGGGACCAAAGGCCTGTGCCACCACTACCCGGCTCAGTGCAGTCATTTATAAAGAAGTAGCATAGTTTAAAGCTGAAGACTGTTTATTTTACTTAAAACCCCTAAGAATTCAAGTATCTTGGACACTATAAGCTCTCTGGTGGGCTGTATGCTCTTTGTATAGAGTCTCCGTTGGCTCTAACACTATAAGAATTTTGGACATGAACTTTTACATCTTTGATTAAAGTACCTACATGCTAATCATCAAAAAAAAAAAAAAAAAAAAAAAAAAAAAAAAAAAACAAACCGTGCTAAGAGAATGACAATAGGTGAAAACACCTTCATCAAATGGATGTAGAAATCCCAAACTTTCTCTTAGAATGGTACTGTTCAATCTGCATGTAAAGTTTCACTTTAAGTTTATTCAAGTGACATTCAGATTCTGTGCACTGCTTAAGGAGATATAAATATTAGAAAACATCTCTGGATATAGGAAAAACAAGCAAATTCAGTTCTTAGTACTATCTAATAAGTCTAACAGCAAAATTTCAATTATGCTCTCAGCTTTTTCTTGCCAAACCAAAGGTGAAGCAGTAGGTGTTATGAATACCTACAAAAAGCTGGGTAGTGGTGGCACACACCTTTGATCCCAGAATTTGGGAGGCAGAGGCAGGTGGATCTCTGTGAGTTCGAGGCCAGTCTGGTCTACAGAGTGACCTTCAGGACAGGCTTCAAAGTTTCAGAGAAGCCCTGTCTCGAAAACAAACAAACAAACAAACAAACAAACAAAAAAGAATACCCACAAAGAACAGAAACTCTGGGCTAGTAAGAGAGTCAGTGGGTAAAAGCACTTGCTGTCAAGTTTGACAACCTGAGTTCAATCCCCAGATTGAATCCTACAGTGAATGAACTGCCTTATAAAGGTTGTCCTCAGACTTCCACACAAGTTATGGTATGCCTGTCACTGCACTCTACAGCTACATAAACACATGCCACAAAACAACTTGAAAATGACAGCTTGTTTTACACTAGTGTTATTCAGTAGCAGTGGGGTGTTGGGGAGATAGACAGGGACATAGGGATGATGAACCCTTAGTACAATGGAGAGTGGCATGAGGAGCCACACTGGCCAGTTCTTCTAACTTCATTTACTTTTATTTTGGTTTGGCTGGAGATTAAACCCAAAGGCATGCTAAACAAATACTACCACTCACACACTCCAGTTTTCTACTCTATGCTATTCTGTGAGGCATCCACCTCCCATCCTTCTACCAACAAATATTCCTAGGACCCCGCACAGCTGGAATAGCACAGATTGAAACATAGCTCCATCCATCTTTCAAAACTTTAGTGTGATGCCCACAAGGCTTCAACTATTTCCCTACTTTTCATTCTTTCATATCGGAATACTACATTACAGTGGTTCTTAATCTTCCTAATACTGGGACCTTTTAATACAGTTCTGCATGTGGTGGTGAACCCCAGCCATGAAATTAATTTGTTGCTACTTCATAACTATAATTTCCCTACTTTATAAATACTAATATAAATATCTGATATGCAAGATATCTGATATGTGACCCACAAAGGGGTCATAACCTACAGGTTGAGGACCCCTGCACTAATAAAAATACCGCAGAAAAATTTACATGGGTGAAGCCGCAGATGAATCTTGCAAATTCTTTATCTTCTCACTTAACAAACTGAAGTTTGTATTACAAAATTCCAACTTAGAACTATCAACTAAGATGGCTGAGGACTTAATTTGGCTTTTAAAACGAACTAGACTAATAACTAGAGAGATGGCTCAGCATGTAAGAAAACTGGCTACTTTTTTAGAGGACTGAGGTTTGATCCTAGCACCCACATGGCAGCTCATAACCATCTGTAACTGGAGTTCCAGGTAATCTGATATCCTCTTCAAGACTCTGCAGGCACAAGATACATACATAGAACATACACATACATGCAGACAAATACCCATACAAATTTTAAAAAGTAGGAGTTTTGGGGACAGGACATACTAGAGGCATGGTCCAGCAGTTAACAACACTTGCTGATCTTACAGAGGATCCGAGTTCAGTTCCCAGTATCCACACATGGTGGCTCACAACCATCTGTACCTCTAGTTCCTGGGGATCCAATACACTCTTCCAACCTCCAAGGACATCAAGTGAGAACACGCTATACATATATACATGCAGGCAACACTCTCACACATAACATAAATCTTTAAAGGATTAAAAAATTAAAATTAACTAGACTACTTGAATTTTTTTAAATATAGGAAAAGAAAACTGAAGGCAAAAAGTTGTTAAATTACAGGGAACTTCATAACATCTATGAAATTCACTATCCTTCACGGGACAAAGAATATAAGCAACAATTTTCTAGGCTATTTTCTAAATGAATGTTAGCTTAATTTCTGTATCATTTTAGTAAGGACAAATAAACTGATTTTCTATATGCTGAGGCAGGAGGACTTTGAAGCCAGTGATGACTATACTACAAGACTGTTTCAAAAAATACCTAACTGAATGAATAAGTATCAATGAATGCTAGTATGGGCACAAAGGTTTTTCCTTTGTTTTACTCAGTTATAAGACAGACACTTAAACATTGAGGCAAAAAACCATTTTTTTACCATTTTATATCTTTATTTCTGGAAGCAATAGGTATGTGCAGGATCAACTAACAGGAAGACACATCTATACTGAAGAATGGAGAGCAGTCTTACCTGATCTGTTGAAGCGATATAGGCATTTTAATTTGCTGATAATAATCTGGGTATTTTTTCTTTGAAGGCAAATGGAAAAAAGGTTCGGCTATGAGCTGCCCTTGGTTATTCCGACAGCTCCTAACTGTGTCATAAAGCTGATGAAAAGGATTGGAGACATCCATAAAGGAAGTAATGCTTTCAGCTTCAGATTCCCCTTCTTCATAACGTGCGGCTGGGAAGACAAAAACATATTTACCAGGGAAATAAACACAAAACAATCTTCCTTTTCACTTCCCCAACACAAGGTAAAAGGTTTTATTACTCTACCACAGTCTCTAGTATATATGATTTGCTGCCTTGCCACACGAATAAGAGAAACAGGTTTGACTGATCCTGGACCAGAACTTCCAAAACTGTGAGCCAAAGCAAGATATTATTTATTATCTTTAGTTATTTGTTAGAAAAACAGAAGACTAACAAATTTAGATTAGGTTGATAATCTCAGATGTGATTTAGCCTTAAGTCTGACTCTGCCCCACTCATCTCTAACATGAGAGTAATGATTAATTCCTTAGTAAAGAAATGTTCATGCAGAAGCTAAGTCATAAAAACACCAGAACAAAGCAAATGATAATTTTTAGAGAAATATAAAACACATGTTGCTTATTTCTCTAAAGATTTATTTGCCTGTATTTATGTGTATGTGCTATGTGTGTGCAAGTGCCTGAAGAGGTTAGAAAAGGGCTTTGTTTTTTAGCTGAACTTCCTGACCATCTTGCCTCTACCTCCAGAGTGCTGGGATTATAGGAATGCACCACCACAGCTGCTTTTTGAGGTACTGGGGAACAAAATCAGGCTTTCATGCATGTATATCAAATGCTCTACCAACTAAAGCTACAAGCCTGGCTCCTATTTAGGTTTTTAAACTTTATCTTTTCATTCCTAGTTGGTATTTTTCTTATACTATTACCAGAAATATGCTCTGCATAATTCTGAAACATTCAAACTTATTGAAATTTATTTTAAGCTCAATAGTCAATTTTGATAAATGTGAACCTGGGAGGAATATATATTTTCTAAGTGCAAAATGCACATATCAAGCCTGTTATAGTAACTTGTGTAATAGGTACTAGAACACATCAATGTTCCAATCCTTAGAACCTGTGAATGCTACCTATGTCCAAAGAACTTTGCAGATGTTAGTAACAATCTTGACTGGAGTAAACACTTAAAGGTAATGACAAGGATGCTACCATGAAGGAGTCAAAGGAAGGACTAACAAGTACCGAGGCTGGAGAGCTATAGTTTGAACATGGAAGAAGGAACCATGAGCGAAGGAAAATAAAAGAATCGGTTTTCCTGTAAAATATCTAAATGGAAAGCTGGCCTACTTCCACCTTGACTTTAGACACCTGAGCTCCACAACTCTACAAAATGTTACTCTAAGTCACTAAGTTTGCAGTTAACTTGTTTCAGCAATAGGAAGCCAAATGATACAAAGAAGTCTGGGGATGTTTCTCCAATATTAGGGCTTTGCCTGGGATGAATGAAGCCCAGGTTTCAATCCTTTGTACTACCAGAGTGGGTGGTGTTTATTGGTGATTGGGACATGGCAAATGGATCCACACCTACCCCCTCTTATTTAGTGACTAACTTCTAAAGACATTATTTTCAAGTTTCCCACAAAGTTCCATCTGTTTGCTTTTAAATACTTGGAGTTCTTCTATAACACATTCCCAAGGAAATAAATCTTTTATCATTATGACAGAACAATTTTATTTGTCAATATCTGTATTTGAGAGTCTGATTTAATTAGAATTCAATAAAGCTACAGTTACCCTTTGGTTATTATTTGTGTGGTATATCTTCTTTAAAAAAGAAAAACAACAACAACAACAACAAAAAAAAAAAAAACAGTGACCTGGGCAGTGGTGGCACACACCTTTGATCCCAGCACTTGGAAGGCAGAGGCAGGCAGATCTCTGTGAGTTTGAGGTCAGCCTGGTCTATAGAGCGAGTTCCAGGACAGGCTCCAAAAGCTACACAAAGAAACTCTGTCTGGAAAAAAAAGTCTTGCTTTTATTTTATGTGCGTGAGTGCTTTGCCTGCATCTAAGTTCACAATATGTAGGCAGTGCATGTGGAAGCCAGAAAAGTGTGTCAAATCCCTCGGAACTGGAGTTACAAAGGGTCGTGAAGTGCCATGTAGGTGCTGGGAACTGAACCCATGTCCTCTGCAAGAACAAGTGCTCTTAATTGTTGAGCCATCTCTCTAGCCTGATGTATCTTTATCTACTCTTTTATGTTCAAATTCCCTGTTTCTAAATTTATTCAACTATGTCCATTAACACAAAGCAATTCAAGTTTGACAATTTTACTTACCCAATCAAGACAGCATCAAATGCAACAAAATAACATTTTCTAAAAAAAAAAAACCTAAGCAATTCCAAGAAAGACCAAAGTTAGTGCAATTTCCCTCATCCAGAAAGATCACAATCTAAAAATGCCTACCAGCTAAAGCAGCATCCTCTTCACTTTCCGAGCCATACTGAAGTGCCATGGTAATTGCTGATAAGCGACCCCCTTGGACTGCTCTTTTATTACTACAAAGAAAAATGAGCAATTAGAATACAGAATGGTGTTATGATTTGCTCACCTTATAAAAGAAGGAACTGTTAAAATGCACCAATATCAAGGAAAACTGTAACTTCTATTAACTGTCTTCTTAGTTTATAATGTTCTTCGTAATGTGTTAGAAAAGTGGGATTCTTCTTTTCAAAAAAAGAAAAGTTGGGGCTGAAGAGACAGCTCAGCAGTTAAGAACACTAGCTGAGCATCCAAAGAACCTGGGTTTGATTCCTAGCATCCAAAGGACAGCTCACAGTTGTCTGCCAGTCACTCCAGTGCCAGGAGATCTAACACCCTCTATAGGCACTGCACACACATGGTGCATGACCATACATGCAGGCAAAACATCCATATATAATATAATTATAATATAATATAATATGTATTACATATATATATTAAAACTTTAAAAACAAGAGAGGAAGTAGTAGCATAAGCTTGGAGTAGACTACTACAATTTGTTTTCCACTTAAATGTATGTAGTATGTTACTCCATACGTTATGGAAAGGATTAGTTATACTCTTCTAAGACACTCATTTTACAATAACAGATTCTTATGAATACAATATTTATTTAGTATAAACAAGTATTTAATACTACATTTTATTTGTGACACTAAACACTACTTAATAATGATTAAACGTCATCTGAGAGGTGAGGAAAGTTCTATATAGAACCTTAATCTACTTGTTACTTTTGTGACAGGATCTTGCTATGGAACCCAGACTGACCTTGAACTCACAATCTCCCTGCCTCAGTTCTCCATGTGCTTAATCTATGAGTATATGCCACTATGCCCAGCTGGTACCTTAAACTTCTGAAGTAAAGTACTTGATACACCCTCCTCAAAACCTACAGTAATACTTTAAGATAGCCATCTGGCTAGCATGCCTACTGTCCCAGCATGAGTCAGCTCTCAGACTATACCCTCTTACTCTCACCGGTAATACTTGCTAGTGGGGTTTCTTTCTTCACCAAGGCTGCTTTTACTGTGCGAAGGACCTGTCAGCCTGGCTGCAGCCAAATTTGATGCAGTCCTATCCAAAGATAAAATAAAAAAATAAAATAAAAAATTCTCAGAGACTGAATATCTAAAAATCAGAATGCTGGGCAAACAAAGAGGAGACAACTATTTTCTTCTAAGAGAAGTAATAAAATATTTCTGAGAGTCTATTATGCAGTAAGTTCTGTGTCAAGATCTGGAGACATTGAAGAAATGGACCAAGGTGAGTCTTCATGAGCTTATGGTTGCTACAGAACCAGAAGACACCATATTGAAATAAACATAAGGGCCAGAAGATTGCTTTGAAAGAAGTTACTCAATGTTTCCATTTCACTTAAGAGGAAATGGAATCCCAGAACTAAGACCTTTTCAAAGATAAGTCCTAATGAAGGAAAAACTAGAGTGAGACGAGTTCTTCTGACTACACATCCTTATTGCAAAAATACACAGTATTGTTATATAATCAAACATAATATATATGCACCACATCTTTTCAAATAACTTTCTTCAGCTACAATGAAACATCTAGAAATGCTTCTAGTATTTTCAGAATCATACATCAACTGTAAATTAATCTTATTTTCTACTATATTCATTTTACAAGCTAAAATTCAGCAAACAAACACAAGGATGTTAGGTATCTTAAACCTACCTTATTCGAAGACTTGATTTAGCCATTTCATGATGTTCAATTTCTGCCTTTTTCATATAAAATATTTTTTTAATCGAATTGGCATCCTAGCAAGATAAAATTAATTTGCTTAGAAAAGACTCACAAGATAGCTCAGTAGAGGCTCTTGGCACAAAGCCTGACAACCTGAGTTTAGTCCCTAAAACCCACATGGTGGACAGAGAGAAACGACTCTTGCAAGCTGTCCTTTCACCCCCACATGTTTAGGTCCCTACACACTCAAAACAAACAAAGCAATGGGGAAGAAAGACTGAAAAATACACTGACTAATGCACTGCTGGCTCTCATGACATTCTTTCATTTGGAGCAGACTTCTAGTCACTAGCCACAAAACTGCATCCCTAACACCTTCCCACAGTCTTCCAAATTATCTTCACAAGTTGTCACTAATTGAGTACCAGATTAGAAGGCTGTTGCTCTTTTATAATTTGGCAAGTTCGAGGCACACTGAGTCCAATGGCAAAATACAATTAATTTTATTTGTTTAAAATGATCTAAAAATTCAAAAAAGATATAATTCTACAATTTTAAAGACCACGTACACAAATTTCAGAAAAATAAATTTACTTGCTTAAATTAATAGCAACTCAACAAATGACATCCAGAGTTTCTTTTCTCCTAGTTTTGGCTGACTCTGTTGAGAAGCACAAACCCATGCTCATGCTCTTGGGTCATTACTCTCCTTTTCCTAAGTATATACCTGTGCAATAATCCCATGCTTAAATCTATATTAAACGTTATTCTTAATAAACTTCAACTCTACCTCATAAAAATAAATGAATAAATAAAAATAGCTTAGTTCAGGGAAAATAGGCTGAAAAAATTCTTAACTATATCAGCAAACAGTACCATATATCACTAAAATGTCTTTTCACAAACTAAGAATTCAAGTACTTCCTAATTCATACCTGATTCTCACTCAAATTTCTTTTTTTTCTTTTTTTTTTTTTTTTTTCCTTTGAGACAGGTTGTCTCTATGCAGCCATGGCTGTTCTGGAATTCTTTATGTAGACCAGAAAGCCTTAAACTCACAGAGATTCTTTTTGCCTCTTAAGTCCTGGGATTAAAGGTATGTATTACTACACCTGGTTTCACTCAAATTTCTTAAAAATACAACAGAAAGTGGCCTGAGATGGGTAAAGTGTAGAAATGGTTTGCTACCCTCTTGACTGAAAAAGTCTTACAAAAATCATGCAAATCAAGAGGTTCAAATTTGCATGTTAATTTCAGGAACACCCGTAAGGGGCTGGAGAGATGGCTCAGCAGTTAAGAGCACAGGATATGCTTCCAGAGGACATAGGTTTCATTCTCAGCACCCACATGGCAGTTCATAGTTGTCTGTAACTGCAGTTACAAAGGTTCTAACACCCTAATCTGCCCCCCACACACCAACCAAATGCACATGCTGCAAAGACATATATTACAGGCAAAACACTCACACATACAAAGTTTAAAAAAAAAATTTAAAAGGAAACAATGTTACAGATACTATCTTCCTTTCATACCTCACTAGAGGGTGGGGGTGGGGATCTACCTGTGAAACTGCCCAGGCCATAGCTGAAAAGCCACCAAGTAACTAAAAAACTTAACTTTAAGGAAGCACTATGCACAACCCTAGCAGAATGATGGTGAAGCCAGCAGGTATGCCCAGGCCAAACACTGAATTTTTGCTGCTTGCACATGCTTAAAAATAAGAGAGTAAGGCTGAATGAAGAGTTTAGATATAAATTCGGTAGTCATGGCATAGGAATAAACTCAGCATAAAATAAGTGCAAATAAAAGTTAACATTAACTACCAACAACAATTTTGAGTATTTTGGCCAGCATTCAGAAAAACCTAATGATTTCATTAGTAAAAGACTTTCTGAGCACCCTTTTCTAAATTCTCAATGATATGTAGTTCTTTTTTTGATTTTTTTGAGACTGGGTTTCTCTGTGTAACAGCTCCAGCTGTCCTCTCACTCTGTAGAACAGGCAGACCTCAAACTCACAGAAATCCACCTGCCTTTGCCTCTCAAGTGCTGGGATTAGAGGCATATGCCACCACTGTCCAGCTAATAAAAGACATTTCTACAATCAACTATTTATTATTAGAACCAGAGAGTTGCTAAGTTGCACAATCAGTTATTTTATATTATGTACTACATTTCAAAGGAATACTTTTTTTTATTAAGCTTAAATGCAAGGACTAAATAATTAAGAAAACTATATACTTAGACGAACAGAAGATAATCAAGAATCCAGGAATAAACCCTTATATCTATAGTTAACTGATTTTCAATAAGGATGCCAACACAATTCAATGGAGAAAAAAATGCTTTTAAAATAGTTTTGGGTAACAACCTATATAAAATAATGTATTTGGATTCCTACTTAACATACACAAAAACTAGTTGAACTTAGATTCCAGGATCTAAATGTGATACCTAAAACTATAAAATTCTTAGAAGAAAATATAGGTGTGAATATTTTTTACTTCGGAGTAGGTAATGATTTCAATGTTATGATACCTAAAATACCAGCAAACAAAGAAAAAAAGCAGATAAACTAGAAGTCTTCAAAATCAATAAAAAAAATGTCAAAATAAATTACCGTGGAAGGTGAAAAGACAAGAGAATGGGAGAAAGTATTTTAAAATCAACTAATAAGGATATGATATCCACAATATATAAATTACTATTAAAATGACAATGGAAAAATAAGTAACCTAATTTAAAAAATGGGCAAAGAATCAAAATAGATAGTTCTCCAAAGAGGACAATATAATACACAAATGGTCATTATGTACATGAAAATATGTTTAACATCATTAACTATATTAAAGAAAAGCAAATCAAAACTATAGCACATTATGATACTCCCAGGATTATTGTAATAAAAACAAAGTCAAAAAAATAGGTGTTTGGTGAGAATGTTGAAAAATGTAGCCTTTTTATACTGGTATGAATGTAAAATGGTAAAGTTATTCTGGAAACACTTGGCCAATTCCTCAGTAAGATAAACACATAGTTAATGTATGACCAAGCAATTGCAATCCTAGATATGTACCCAAGTATAATGAAAATGTATGCCCACAAAAAAACTTATATATGTGAATGTTCCTAACAGTATATTTGTAATAGCTAAAGATGGAAATAACTAAAATGTATAATAACTGTTTTAAAAAAAACACATGGTGCCATCTTTAAGACAGACTATTAATAAGCAAATAAACAGAAGAAAGGCAGGCTAAGTATGGGCACACACAAATCTTAAAACAGTATGCTAAATAAAAGAATTAATCATAAAGGAATCCATGTTATATGATGTCATTTATATGAAATTTCCAGAATAGAAGAATGTACAGAGGTTGGAGTATATGGAGGTTGTCTACAGTTTGGGAAAGTGTAGGGAAATGAAAAGTGAGTGCTAAGTGACTGGCGTAATGGCTACACAACTCTGTAAATACTAAACCACTAAGTTCTATATTTTAAATGGATGGAATTTATGATTATAATAAAAATTGGAACTTAGTTAGTATCTATTATCACCCATGAAAGTAGCAACAACACTAACCTTGAATACTTGAGAACCAGGCTCATTATATGTTTTGGCATTTTTTGCTAGAAGATCTATATCTTTGGCCATTGCATGAATAGTTTTGTAGCTTCCATTCTATAGTAAACAACAAAATATAGCAAATTTTCTTAATAAGAATGAGTCAATATAACCTTTAAAGAAAAAGACTCTACATATTTTTAGGCTGTTAGTATACTTCAAAATATCACTGGGAAGTATACTTCATTATTTACCCTTTTATAGATTATTACTAGTACCTATTTACAAGTATATTTGGTGACATACAACAAACCAGAATATATTATTTTCATAAAAACAACTTACAATTTTAAAAAAATCAAGTAAGGTAAGATTTAGCAAAAAACATAGTTTACTATTCGACAGACACCAAGTGCTACATGAGTATTCAATCACTAAAATAGACTTAATAATGTAATTACCAGACCATTCAGGTATAAAATCAGTTCTATTTGCACAAGCTATTACACACCTTAAAGCTCACTGGGTACAAAATAATGCAAGGGTACTCATATAGTTGCTTTAAATTTACAGAGGAAAGGGACACACATACCAGGTAAAAGACACATGGCTAGTGGTTAGTACACAGAAATAAACAGGATAAGTTCTAAAGAGTGGAGAAATCAAATGAAGTGCAGTGGAGGATGAGAAAGGGTAAAACCATAGCACAGACTGCACAGACAGGGAAAAGACAAATGAGGCAGAGTTGAGACAGCCAGGCAAAGGACTGGGCAAACCAACATCTGAACATCCATCTTATTTGGAAGGACTCTCACAGGTGGTAGGTAAGCCCATGAGACTGATCATTGACAAATGGTTGCTTTGCCAACAGCTTAGCAGTAAGGCAAAGGAAAATCCCCAAGGGTCAGCTACTTCACAATTTTGATCTTGAAGGATTAAAGTCAAGCATGGCAGGATTCATCCCTGATTTCTGTGAAGAAAAAAGTCTAGCAGCAGACCAGAAACCAACCAGGGTCCCTGGTAACAAACAACAGCAGAAATGACAATATTACTACAGAGAGGTTTAAGCAATCTCAAATGTTTGATCACAACTCTTTGAGTCCTGCCTGTTTTTAAAAGAGCATTTCCCTTGGGAAAGAAAGGGAACACACACACCAGGTAAAGGGTACATGGACAAGTACCTATTTTCATTAACCTTGTATTCAAATATCTATTGTAAGTAACTTTCATTCTAATATATCCTAAAGCAATCTAAAATAGGGTAAAAATAAACAACAAAGCTTTTATTGTCAACATGCCTTTCATAATCAGAAATGCCTATAACTAGTTCCACCTGTGGTGATAATTTTGTTTATGATCTAACAAATAAAGCTTGCCTGAAGAACAGAGTGCAAAGCTAGCCATACAGTTCAGCCATACATGCCGGGCAGTGGTGGCACACACCTTTAATCCCAGCACTAGAGAAGAATATAAGATAGCAGACAGGAGTCAAGGTCAGTCTGTAGTCATTCTGAGGACAGGATTGCCCCATTTGGTATGAGCCTTGGTGGAGGTAAGAGCTCTCTAGTGGTTAGCTGCTTTGCTTTTCTGGTCTTCAGCTTGAACCCCAATATCTGTCTCTAGTTTTTATTATTCATGCTATACCCACTTATTCAGCCATTCATTCATTCATTCATTCATTCTACTTGAAAGAGATTTAGGACCTTGAACTTAAGAGTATACTCTTCTCCTAAAATGCAATTAAAAACTACAATTACAAGAAAAGAAATATCTACTACTTCATTTTCTACAATCTCCTAAGAAAGTATACAAGCCAATCCAACATAAACCACATGACTACAGATGTTCACCTTCATACCTGTATTCTCTGAGCAATGGTCTTGAGATCTATAGGCTCCTTAATTATTGCATAATAGTCTGGATATTGCTGGAAGGCAAAAACAGGTATGTCCAATAAGTTAAAGTACTCTGAAGGTAAGCTGCTCTTCAACCAGAAAACTGAGAAACTTTATGAAATTCATGGCTAAAGCATATTCTTATAGTAGAAACAAAAAGAATGTATATTTTTCTTTCTTTTTTCTTTTTCAGGGAAAAGGAGAGACAGGGTGTCACTATGAAATACAGGATAGCCTCAACCTCTTAAAATTCTTCTGCCTCAGCTTCCTATTTGGCTGGAATTTTAGGAATATACCACTGGACCCTGTTCTTTAAACTATGGATGGACTCAAGCTTTTCATATTTGTAATACAACACTGGCATCTTTAACATTCATGTTCAACAACCATGAGATCTGAATTTGAACTCTCTCCCTCCTAATATTTTAAAAAGATTTAAGATTATGTGTGGGACACAAGTGAGATACATCTGTGGAGTTTATCTAACCCAAGCTCATCCCAAGAAGCAGACACACTTTCATGATACCGCTCATGTTCACTACTCTCAGGCTCGTCTACAAGTTTTGTTTCTTTAAGTAAATAACTGAAGTTGAACAAAATCCAAAAGTAGTTTTGTTCTTTTTTTTTAAAGTTTTTATGATACTTCTGAAATTAAAATATAATCACATCATTTTCCCCTTCCCTTTCTTCCCTCCAATCCTTTCTATACACCCCCTTATACCACACTCTGCTCTCTCAAATTTACGGCCCCTATTTTCATAATTGTTACTTGGGGGGGAGGAAGGGAGGGGGAGAGGGGATTCTTAAATACAGGGATTTCCCCCTTTCATGCTATCATGTCTACTGATAGCATCCTTGCTCTGGTCTTCTTTAGGCAGAAGTATTGGTGAGACTTCTGGGGTACAGCTTCCCTGACATTTTTCTAAGACATAATCTCACAGTAAACTTCTGTTCCTCTTGCTCTTACAAACTTTCCACTCACTCTTCCACTATGATCCCTAAGTGATTTCTGTTCTTACAGACACAGAATGAAAATGAATAGTTGGATCTAATTGAAGACAATTGTATATGCTCATGTATGTGCACATGTGTGCATGTGGAGACCAGAGGTCAACATCAGTTGTATCCTATTACTTTCATCTTATTTTATGAGACAGGGTCTCACACTAAACCTGGAACTTCCCAAATTGGCTAGACTAGCTGAACAGCTAGCTCCAGGGATCTTCTTGCCTCTGTTACCTCAGTGCTGCAATTATAGGAGCACAACCACAGCAGCTGTTTTTTTTTTATGGGTTCCTCATACCTATGTGGCAAATACTTTACTGCCTGAGTCATCTTCCCTGTACCAAAAGATGGGTTTTTTATGAGGACTCATCATCTCCTTCTTTCCCCCTAGAGAAGATACTATTCTACTTTCTGTGTCTTAGATTTTAACTATTCTAGTCTCTCACATAAGATGAATCACATACAGTATTTTTCCTTAAGGATTAGTTATTTTACTTTGCATATGTTTAGGATCCATCCACAAGAATCATAACTTCCTTTTTGTTTTGCTTTGGTTTTTTCAAAACAGGTTTCTCTGTGTAGCCTTGTCTGTCCTGGAACTAACTATATAAACCAGACTGGCCTCAAACTCAGAGGGCTGCCTGTCTCTGCCTCCAGAGTGCTGAGATTAAAAGGTGTGCCACCACCGCCTGGCTCAGAACTTCCTTTTTTTTTTTTTTTTTTGGTTGTTCAAGACAGGGTTTTTCTGTAGCTTTGAAGCCTGTCCTGGAACTTGCTCTGTAGACCAGGCTGGCCTCAAACTCACAGAGATCCACTGCCATAACTTGGCTGGAGTTTCAGGTTTATTTTTCGACATACGGAGTTTCAGTTTTTAAAGATTAAAGAAAAAAAATCCTAGAAGATGAACTGATGGGGGAGGTCCTTCTGTGTATATGTTTGTCTTCTTGGTTGATAAATAAAGTACTGTTGGCCAATAGGGAAGCAAGTTAGGTGATACTAGGAATCGAGGAGGATTCTGGGAAATATAGTAAAGAGAAGTCTTGTGATCGAGGCAGGAAGTAACATAGCAGGCACACTCAGAATATAAGCAGAGACAAGCAGGAAATCGCGCTCTTCCTCCTCTCCTCTCTTCTCTGGGAACCGCCATGTGAACTGGACAAGAGAGGATGCATGCCACCAGCATCCTGGATCAGATAAGTCTTTACAAAATATATAGATTAATAATTATGGTTGATACTTAAGACAGAGATAGCAATCAGAAATCCTAGTCATTGGCCAGCAGCTTTGTAATTAATATAAGACTCTGTGTGTTATCTCGGGAGCCCACATCGGGGCTCGGGCAGCTTGGCATAAAGATTTATCATTACAAATGGACAGTCATGACAGCTGCACAATAATGGGGATGTATTAACATTTTAAATTGGCTAAAACAAAGGTCAGGAAGATCTGCAATTCCAGTACTCAGAGGCTGAAGCAGGAAGATTTGTTTGTGATAAGCCTAGGCAATGTAGTGAGACCCTATCTGAAAATTACAAAAATAAGTAATATTTAACATAAATAAAGCTAAAATAATAAATTATACTGTTTTGCATCATAGTAACAAAAAGAGCCTATGAATTTGGAACCAACTCAAACAACAAAAGGCAGGAAATCTGTCCCCATCACCCAACACACAAAGAACTAATAATCTTTTTTTGTAAAGCCAACCTTTGGGGGATGGACAGACGGCTCAGCACTTAAAAGCACTTGATGCTCTTGCAGAGAACCCACATTTGATTCCCAGAACCCACATGATGGCTCCAAACATCTCTAACTCTAGTTCAGAGATCTAATGTCCTCTCCTAACTTCCACAGGCACCAGGTACACATATAGTACACATTCATACACATGGGCAAAAGGCTTCTATCCATATTAAGAAAAAAGGCCATCTTTTAATCAAGTAAAATGACAGATTATGTCCTTTGTGCTTCCTGCTGAGGCCATGAAGATTACCACTTGGATACTTCCAACACTGAGTCTTTACTCTTATTTTACTTACCAGTACCTAATAAAATTCTTAAAAGTACTTAAAATGAAATATTTTAACATTTGTCATTGATCAAATCTCTTACCACTTTGGAAGGGAGTTTCTGAAAAAGTTCACTGATGAGCCGTCCTGATGGATTTGTGGCTACAACTATGGCTTCAAGAAGCTGCTCCAGGATCTCCTTTAGGTAACTTGGAGAAGACTAGGGGGCAAGGAAGGGTATAGGGAGAGAAAGAAATCAATACATAAGTGCCAGATAGTAAATAGTTCTTAAGATTACAAAGCTAATTCCAAAGAGCAACTACTAAGCAGTATTTATCCTAAGTTCAAATTTCAAGAGTACCTTAGAAATGTTCCTAGCAATGACACAAGCTTGTAACTGAGAAGGACTATATGAATTAGTGACACTCCTTATATATTATTTCTATAGTTAAGTCTCCTGGATCAGGTCTTAAAATGAATCTTAATTTTGTAATAAACATTGTGAAATACAAGCACGATATATGTGAATGAGGAAATCAATTATCATTAAACCAGGGAAAACATGCCCCATAATAATACTTGCCTACACTGTTCCTCATAGCTCCTCAAATTAAGTAAAAACTAAATTGAGCCTTCTTGTTACCTAGCCTATCTAGGTCTGTGGATTGTAGCATGGTTATCCTTTACAATCCAAGGGGGGATGCATTGTTCTCCCTGGGAAGGCGAAACAGAAGAGATCTTGTGGGTGGACTGAGGGTCAGTGGGGATGGGAACATGAGGGAGGGGGTTGGGAGAAGGATGGAGAGGACAGTACTGAAAGAGATGACTGGAAAGGAGAGAAATTTTGGGGTCAGATAAGTCCTGGTACAAGGGAAACTCCCTGGAATCTACAAGGATGACCACAGCTAAGACTCCTAGCAACAGTGGATACATAGCCTGAAATGGCCATCTCCTGTGACTAGGCAAGACTTCCAGTGGAGGGACTGGGACACCAACCCAGACACATAATCCTGCCTATGGGATGTGCTGGGGTAAGGTTGGCAGAGATTGTGGGAGTGGTCAACTAGTGTAGTCCAGTCTGAGACCCATGCCACAAGACTGAACACACCACTGACACTGCCTAGAGATCGAGAACCCACAGGCTGGATGGCCTAGAGGCCTAGGATAAAACCAAACACAATTGGAGAAAACAACAAAAGTCAACATATGATGCCTAACAATATTCTGCTGGACTATCCCAATTGTCAGAGACCTTCATCCAGTAACTGATGGAAACAGATGCAGAGAACCCACAGCCAGACATTAGGCTGAGCTCAAGGAATCCTGCTGAAGAGAGGGAGGAAGGATTGTATGAGCCACAGGGGTCAAGGACAACCAGGAAAATCCACAGAAACAACTAACCTGGCTCATAGGAGCTCAGAGTCTGAACCAACAAACAGGGAGCTTGAAGGGACTGACCTAGCCTCTCTACAGATATGTGACAGTTGTGTAGCTTGCTCTACTTGTGGGACTCCAGGGGCTATCCCTAAGGCTTTGGCTGGCTTTTGGGAACCTACTCCTCATATTGGGTCAACTTGCCCAACCTTAATACAAAGGGAGGTGTTTAGTCTTACTGTAACTTGATATGCCATGCTTTGTTGAAACCTATGGAAGGCCTGTCCCTCTTTGAACAGAAACAGAGGAGTGGAATGGGGGGAGGGGTTTGCAGAGGAGAGGTTGAAGGAGGGAAAAGGAGGAAAGGAGGGAAGGGAAACTGTACTTGGGTTGTAAAATAAATGAATAAATAAATTTAATTAAAAAAAAACTAAATGGAGGGGGCTGGAAAGATGGCTCAGCAGTTAAGAGCACTGGCTGCTCTTCCAGAGGACCTGGGTTCAATTCCCAGCACCCACATGGCAGCTCACAACTGCCTGAACTCCAGTTCCAGGATATCTGACATCTTTACACCAATGCACATAAAAAAAAGTTAAGTAGGGGCTGGAGAGATGGCTCAGAGGTTAAGAGCACTGACTGCTCTTCCAGAGGTCCTGAGTTCAATTCCCAGCAAGCACATGGTGGCTCACAACCATCTATAATGAGATCTGGTGCCCTCTTCCGGCCTGCAGGCATACATGCAGGCAGAACGTTGTATACATAATAAATAAAATCTTAAAAAAAATAAAGTTAAATAAATTATATTAAAAAAAACTAAAAGGAGAATAAGTACACTCATATAGATTTCTATTCTTCAAACTGTGCAACTTGCACTTACTTGCATCTAGTTAAGTCACTGTTCCAATACAAGAAATTAAGTGTCCCAAACAGTACTTGACCAGAGAAGGTCCAAGTTTGAAGCAAGTTTCTACAGTAAGGAATGGGACTGACTCAAGTCAAAACTTACAGTAAATAATACTTCAAATTCAAACCACACTTTGTACCAAAAAACCCCAAAAGAACACAAGATTAATGGTCATTTATGATTTAAATTAAATGTGCACTGGCATTTTCACATTTACTTTTAATGTAGTTTCAAGTTTTAAGGTACTTGTTTCTTTCTTCCCAACCCAGTTAACTATTCTAGAAACACAGTGCAGGTGGCATAAGAGTCAGGGTACGGGAATAAGAATCAGGGTGCACCAGGCATTGGTGGCGCTTGCCTTTAATCCCAGCACTTGAGAGGCAGAGGCAGGCGAATCTCTGTGAGTTCGAGGCCAGCCTGGTCTCCAAAGCGAGTGCCAGGATAGGCTCCAAAGCTACACAGAGAAACCCTGTCTTGAAAAACCAAAAGAGTCAGGGTGCTTGAATCCATTTACATAATCTATTCCAGTAATTGAGAAAATGCTAAGAAAATTATTCTTGATTTAAGAATAAAGGTTTCAAAAAAATTTTTTAATTAAAATTAAAGTTTTAAAGACTAGAGATATAACTCAGGCGGTACTTTGTCTATCTAAAACACATGAAGTCCATCCAACAACAGCTACAACAACAACAAAAACCTAGTACCAGGCATGAAAAATCTCCTTTTGAGTTGTTGGTTAAAGGAGTTCAAGAAACTCTCAAAACAAGTTGGGTGGTGGTGGTGCACATCTTTAACCCAACACTCAGGAAGCAGAGGCAGGTGAACATGTGTGAGCTTGAGGCCAGCCTGGTCTACAGAGTAAATTCTAGAACAGGTAGAGAAACCCTGAGGACTAGTCCTCAAAGTACTAAAGGTGCTAAACAAGCTGCCAAGGGAGAAAACCAATCAGTAGTCCTACCCAGCTGATACCTAAGAGACACAACAATGCCTAGTATGGCAAGATATTTCCAAAGGTGCAGTAGTGGCACTTACATCTTAAGAGCTAACCAACAGCTCTAACTATACGTTAGGCCCACATAATAGTAGTGAATTTATGCCTGGTAAACTAGACAGCTATCTGTGACCAATGAGACCATGGAACTTAGAATTCTGACGACTACTGTTATTTCCCTTAAGTGGTATTTCTAACTGTATTCTAAACACTTACCCTTACTTATAGATAAGTGTAACTCTCACCTCATCCAAGAAGTTTCTTGTAGCAGAAGACCATTACAGAGAGACACAAATGGTCAAAACACAGACAACAACTGATTGCAGGGTGCTGAGCCTCAGTTGATACATCTACAACATAAACCCTACACCACGGCTCATGGAAAATCATGGAAGAGGGGGCAGGTAAACTGTAAGTGTTCCAGAGGACCAGGATGACTGCTGACATCTACATATTACAGGGAAGCCGCACCCAGGAAATCTCAACAATACTGTAACCTAAACAAGACCTGAATGAACAATGACAACACCAGTTAACATGACAACATGGATGGGAGAAATCCCATTAGGCCCCACCACTAGATGAAGAGCTATAAGCAATTAATGACTATTGAGAGAAGAATCAGTCCTTCCCAGGACTGAGTGAATCCAACTGGTTATCCATTATCAAATGCCTAACCCTAGAAACATAGACATATAAGCAACATTAAACAGACTCAAAAGTGTTTATATCCATATATTTGTATGTATATATGCATGAATGCATGTAATAATAATAAAGAAAATTAAAAATAAAAAGTTAAAGAAAACTAATGTACTCTCAATTTTTAAGGTCCTTGCTTCTTTCCTCCCAACCTAGCCTACTACTCTAGAAACACATGCAGGTGGTCTAAGAGTCAGGGTGCATGAATACATTTACATAACCTATTCCAGAAATTGAGAAAATGCTAAGAAAATCATTCTTGATTTAAAAATTAAAGTTTCAAGACTTGAAATATACCTCAGGTGATAGTTTTTCTGCCACATATGCAGGAAACCCTAGGTTTGATCCCTGGGACCTCAGAAACTAAGAGGATATGGAGGGAGAGGAAGGGGAAGAGTAGAAGAGGAACAAGATATGGTAACAGGGGACTGAAGATGATCAAAATATATAAACACATGAAATGTAATAACGAAACCCAATATTTTATATAATCAATGCTAATAAAATGGGGGAAGATTTTATTTAAAATAGAAGTTATGTCCAGGCTGTGGCTGAGGTTCATGTCTGGGTCCGTGGCCCTACTGCAGCCTGGTCTATGTTGATGTCCATGACTTCTGATACCATTGAAGGCCATGCCAATGCCAAGGGTCTGAACTGCCAACTGGGACCATGTGGATGTCTGAGGGCCATGCTGATCTGAGTGGCTTATGCTGCCACTTAGGGCCAAGATGACATCCAAGCCCAGGCTGCTGCTGCGGACTATGTCTGGGTCCATGGTCCTACCACAGCCAGGGTCTGTGTTAATTTCTGTGGCCAGTGGTGCCACCCAAGGCCACACAGATGCCCAGGGTCTAGGCTACAACCTGTGGCCAGGCTGAAGCCTGAGGGCCATACACCTCTGCCAGGGCCACACCAATCTGAGTGGCCTACACTGCCACCTGGGACCATGGTGTTGTCTAGGCCAGGGTTGCTGCTGACGGTCATGTCTGGGCCCACGACACTACCACAGCCAGGGTCTGTGGTGATGTCCATGGCTCCTGATACCACTGAAGACCATGCTGATGCTAGGGGTCTGGGCTGCTACCTGGTGCCATGTTGGTGCCTAAGGGCCATGCTGCCATGGGGGCCATGCCAGTATGAATTGCCTACACTGCCACCTGGGGCCTTGTTGATATCCAAGCCTGTGCTGCTATGGAGGACCATATCTGGGTCCGTGGTTCTACCACAGCTAGGTTCTGTGTTGATATCCATGACCCATGGTATCATCAAAGGCCACATGGATGCCCGGAATATGAGTTGCAACCTGTGGCCATGTTGGTGTCTAAGGGCAGTACTGCCATCAGGGCCACAACCATCTAGGTGGCCTATGCTGCCACAGAGGGCCATGTTTCCTCCATGGCTACTGCTGTGGGCCATGTATGGGTCTGTGTTCCTGCTGCAGCTGAGGTCTGTGATGATATCCATGTCCCTTGTTATCACAGGAACCACACATGTTTAAATCCAAGGGCTGCGTTGAGATGGCCCCACCATTACTGGCCCTATCTGCCCAATGGGAGAGCTAGGCCCTGGCTCCACCCCTCACCATAGGCAGAGGAGAGCTGGCTCTGTCCCTTGCCTAAGGGGGTTGTCCTAATGGCAGGACCAACCAGTTCAGCTACCACCCAGACCCACATCCTGGGCATTGGGTTGCCCCCCCCCCAACACCCACCCTATCTATATAACCTGCTGGAATGCATGAGGGGACTGGTCCTGTGGAATGATAACTGTAGGAGCTCCATGCTTCCGGGCAACATTAAACAGACTGGGACAACAGCAGGATATCTAAGAGGAGTTATGGTGAGGGTGTACCAGAAGCCATAGGCCTTAAACCAGATGAATCACTCACTGCAATGAACATTTCATGGGTAGGGCTAATTGGACAAAAGATTATACTGCATGACACAATGCAGCTCCTGATGCCACTAGGATGAATGAAGAGGCAATGGAAAGATGAGGATCAAGGTGATTTTTGTATGTTTTTAATTAATTTTCGGGTGGTGCAAGCTACAGGGGTAAGGGTTGGATATGGAGGGACTAGGAGGGGAGCAGGATTAGAGTGCATGATGTGAAATACCCAAAGAATCATGTTAAAACAAACAAATAAATAAGAATGAAATAGAAGTCAAGCTAAATTACAATATAACTTAAATCATAAGATAATCTACCCTAGAGGTTTCACAAACTACATTTGAAGTATAGTAAAACCAAATAATTTATATTCTAGTTAAAATTTTGTAGCAAAGCAAACTAAAACAATTTTACCTTAAATAAAAACTAGGAGCTAAAAGAATGCCTTCCCCTTTCAAAAAAAAAAAAAGCAAAAAACAAAAAAAAACTTAGTTATAAAAGAAACCCAGGAGACATAAATATGAACGTGTAAGATTTCTCCATTTCTTGTCATTTATGCAAATAAAATAAGTAAATAAAAATAGGCAAGTCCTTTGTTGGGAAGGACAGATTGAGAAATGAGAGAGGGCAATGGAGAGTCAAAGAAACCCAAAATGCATTATTTACATGTATGAAAATATCAGAAATAAAAAATGTAAAAGGTCAGATCTTCAATTTTATTCTCTGGCTAGAGCTACAGAAAGGCTAGGGCCTCAGCAAGCCATACTTTGCTAGTTACTTCCCCTTTATTTACATCCTTGAATACTAGGAACACAACTGGCACACAAACATAAATGTAAGTAAAATACCCACATACATCATTTTTGTTGTTGTTGTTGCTTTGTTTTTATTTTTCGAGACAGGGTTTCTCTGTGGCTTTGGAGGCTGTCCTGGAACTAGCTCTTGTAGACCAGGCTGGTCTCGAACTCACAGAGATCCACCTGCCTCTGCCTCCTGAGTGCTGGCTGCTCCTCCAGAGGACCTGGGTTCAATTCCCAACACCCACATGGCAACTCACAACTGTCTATAACTCCAGTTCCAAGGAACCTGACACCCTCACAGAAACATACATGCAGGCAAAACACCAATGCATGTAAAATGAAAATAAATAATTTAAAAGAAATTTATTTGTAAGCACAGGTAGGAGCAACTGCAAAATTTCCACATTCAGAACACATAAGGCATGGTCTACAATCAAGCAGTAAATCCTTAATCTGTCAAAGTATCCCTGACAGTGGCTTGCAGAAAGCTGTATCCTGGTACCTATATTAAGCCTGTTTAATTCCTTTAAAGATACTGACAAAGTACCTGGAACGTATAATTTTTCTTCAATTTCACCTTTTTCTCCCCAACCCTCTTTTCCAGATACTGGCCAAAAGACTAAGCATGTTTTCCCAGACACTTTGGGCTTTCTCACTCTTCACTGCAAGTCCCCTCCTCTTATACCATACAGGGCTTGTCCACCTCAACTGCAAAATAAACGGTTTTCTTTCTTCTCCTCCACCTCCCTCCTCCCACTAGCTGCCAAGATCTTCAGCTTGTTTGTTGTTTCTCCTCTCCAGTTCTAACTGTCCTCCAGCTTAAGAAAACAAAGTATTCCTAACTAAGGCAACTCAACTGGCTCTTCCAAATTTTTATAACAACACTGCCTCCCCTTACCACTAGGTTTGTTGTTGGTTTTGAGACAGGGTTTCTCTTAATCTTTGGAGCCTATCCTGGCACTCACTCTGTAGACCAGGCTGGCCTCAAACTCACATAGATTCGCCTGTCTCTGCCTCCTGAGTGTTGGGATTAAAGGCGTGCGCCACCATTGCCCAGCTTTACTCATTGTTTTAATCTAGCAATACTGGATTGAACTAGACCTTGATAATATCAGGATTCTAAAACTGAAAAGAAAATATGCATTAATATGAAAACACCCATGAGTACATGAAACTGGAATGAAGTTCTCTAGCTTAATGTTCACGTACCCTCTCAGCTACCAATACAAAAACAGCCCCAAAGTTACCCTTACTTCCCAAGCTATCCATGCCACTGCACGCTCACACTTACACCTTCAGTTCCTTGAGTGTCTTGCCCATCTTCATCATCATCTTCGTCATCTGCTTCTCCTTTTTGAACAAATTCATTTCTTGTTCGAAGGTACAAATCCCAGAGTTTACAAGCAGCTTTATATTCAGGGGAATCTGGCTACACATTAGCAAAGAGAAGAGAAAGGAACATTACTTTAAAAAAAAATTATTTATTGCTATTTTACACACACTGGTATTTTGCCATGGGTGTCGGGTCCTCTGAAACTGAAGTTACAGATAGTTGTGAACACCATGTGGGTGCTGGGAATTGAACCCAGGGCCTCTGGAAGAGCAGTCAGTGCTCTTAACCTCTGAGCTAGCTCTCCAGCCCTGGGACATTACTTTTATAGGTAATTGCTACTTTTAAAGAATCCTGTTCAACAGAGACCGGTATTTTGAGGAAAATTTGAAAATTCAATTATTACAATTATTTCAAAATTCTTAGGATTAGAAGATATTCGGGACTTAATCCATTTTCATAAAAAAAAACATGCATTTTAAAGGCATTCTGAAATAAATTTATAGAGATACTTGAGACAGAAGACAAATGATTTGCTAACTTAAAATTAATTAATAATAATATAAGTCAATAGAAAGACCTGTTATAAAAGAGAAATAACTGATGAAATTATTTCTATTTTACAATAGACTAACAGCAAATTTCAAAAAATTAAACTAAAATTAAACTAAATATACAAAAGCATTAAAAGGCTTTAAAGAAATGAAAACAGGAGGAAAGTCAAATAGCTGTGGTAGTTTGAAGGAAAACAGCTCCCACAGGAAGCTCACAGGGAGTGATATTATTGGAAGTGTGGCCCTGTTGGAGGAAGTGTGTCACTGGGGTTGAGATTTGAGATTTCAAATGCTCAAGCCAGGCCCAATGTCACTCTTCTTCCTGCTGCCTGCTGATCCAGATGTAGGACTCTCAGCTACCTCTCCAGCACTGTGTCTGCTGCCTGTGTGCTTCCATGCTTCCTACCATGTCGATAATGGACTAAACCTCTGAACTGTAAGCCAGGCCCAATTAAATGTTTTCCTTTATAAGAGTTGCTGTGATGGATGTGGGAGGGGGACACTTGAGAGATGGCTCAGTGGTTAGGAGCACTGACTGCTCTTCCAGAGGTCCCAGGTTCAATTCCCAGGCCTACATGGCAGCTCACAACTGTCTGGAGAACTCCAAGATCTGACACCCTCACACAGACATACATGCAGGCAAAACACCAATGCAAATAAAACAAAATTATTAAACAAAAAAAAAGTTGCCATGGTCCTGATGTCTTTTCACAGCAATAGAAACCCAAACTAACACAATAGCCAATCCAAGATCTAAAAGAAGAGAGAATGGGTTATAGGCAATATATGAAAATATTAAGGCTGAAAAATCCTCCTGAGAAAAAAATATCAACCCAAGACTTAGGAAACAAAGCTCACAAATAGTAGGAGAGGGAAATCTACATGTAACACAATAAAACCAACGAGAAAAGAAAGCCAGAAAGGAGATAACCTTTAAAGAAACTGCAGCAGTAATAACAGATGACTTTATAGCCAACATTCCCCCTTCTCTTGAGTGCTAAGGATCTACTCTAAGGCTTTGCACATGTTAAGCAAGGGCTCTATACATGTAGCCCCGGCTCTCATATAAGTTCTTAAAGCAATGAAGGAAAAAGTAAAAAGTTGGGTATCGTGGCATGAGTCTAAAATCCTAATACTTGTAAAGCTGAGGCAGAAGGACTGCCACAAATATGAAGCCAGAGCAGGCTACATAGTAAGTACCAGGATAGTCAGGGGAACACAGTGACCCTGTCACACAACAAAGTTGTAAATTTGTGAGCAAAAAAATTATGTAAAATAATATTCATTTATGGAAAACAAATTTGCTACAAAATAAGTAATAGGCAGCATGAATAATAAGAGGTGCTCAGAGCATAATATTTATAAAGTCCCTGTATTGCTTGCAGGTAGTAGTTAATATGCTAATTACCCCTCCCCGCTTCTTAAACCCTATAGCACCTGGTATTTCCAGGCAGTCTTCCATCCAAGTACTAGCTGGGCAGGGCCCTGCTTAGATTCCAAAATTACATGAGACTGGGCACATTCATGGTGGTATGGCCATAGAGTAGCTTTCCATTTTGACAAGTTAACTATTGATCTTAACATTTCTTGACGTTAGGGATGTACCTGTGGTACAACATTTGGTAAACATATGTAAAACCCTGAGGTTCAATCCCAGCAGTTTTTTTTTGTTGTTGTTTGTTTGTTTGTTTGTTTGTTTTAATGAAAAAGAATAAAATACTAAGATTTCACAAATACTAAATTTTAGGCAGAATAAATCAAAACTAAATTCAACAGGAAGATTTTAAAAACTAACAAAACAGCAGGGTGGTGGTGGTGCATGCCTTTAATCACAGCACTGGGGAGGCAGAGGCAGGCAGATCTCTATGAGTTTGAGGCCAGCCTGATCTACAAAGGGAGTTCCAGGACAGCCTGGGTTGTTATACAGAGAAACTCTGTCTCAAAAAAACACAAATAAATAAAAACATATTCATCAAACAGACTACAAAAATTGGAGGCTGGGGTTGTTCAAAAGTAGAATGCCTTTTAAGTAGGATTCAATCCACAGCATTAAAAAAATGAAATTTAAAACACATAGTGTAAAAAGATATTTGGAACCTAATTTAAAAATGGTATTCAAAATATTTTTTTTTAATTTCCAGAATATAAAAATACAAAAATGGGGGCTGGAGAGATGGCTCAGAGGTTAAGAGTACTGGCTGGTCTTCCAGAGGGCTTGAGTTCAATTCCCAGCAACCACATGATGGCTCACAACCTTCCGTAATGAGATCTGATGCCCTCTTCTGGCCTGCAGGGATACATGCAGACAGAATACTACATACATACATACAATAAGAGAAAAACAGGCAAAATATCTTAGCAATTCATGAAAGAAATGAGGCAAAAATGGCTTAAAAAAAATCACATGAATGATGTCTCCTTACTAATGAAAAAATTGCAAGCCAGTAATATCTGTAATGCAAGTTTGAGACCAGCAAGCCTTGGTTACACATTGAGACGTTGTCTCAACAAAACAAAACAAAACAAAAAATTCCCCCCACCCAACTACACAAAAATCAAAACAATAAAATAAGACAAAAAAACTTCAACTTATCTTAATGATTGCTAAATATTAAAAAGCTAGCTGGGAGCTGCAAAGATAGCTCAGCAGTTAAAAGTACTTACTGCTCTTACAAAGGGCCAGAGTTTTTCCAATCATTCCTACAATAGCTCACAACCATCTGGAACTCGTTTTAGAGGACCTGATGCTCCCTTCTGGCCTCTATGGGCAATACACATCTATGATGCACTTACATACATATAGGCAAAACATGAATACACATTATATGTATATCATGTAATACATGACATGTAAGATATAATGTATAATATAAAATATATAAAAATATACACATATATATAAAAGATAACATATATACATATGTATATATGTTATCTTTTTTAAACAATTATTAGGCATGGTGGCATACACCTATAATCCTAGTTTTTTTTTTTTTGGTTTTTCGAGACAGGGTTTCTCTGTGTAGCTTTGGAGCCTATCCTGGCACTCGCTCTGGAGACCAGGCTGGCCTCGAAACTCACAGAGATCCGCCTGCCTCTGCCTCCCGAGTGCTGGGATTAAAAGCGTGTGCCACCAACGCCCCGGCTTAATCCTAGTATTTGAATGGAAGCAAAAGGATCAGAAGCTCAAGGTCAGCCTATACCTATACAGTTCTCCTAAATTAAACAAATAAAATTTTTAAATTGAAAAGATTTTAAAAACAGACAATTATAAAATTAGACACTATCCAAATCTGATGCTTTCTTACCTTATAATAAGCCTTTGCATTGTTAAAAAGCAACTGGAAGTCTGCAGTCAGCAGATTAACATCATCATACTCTTCCATTTTAAGTTTCTGTTGGATTTTCATCAAGTCAATGGGCTGAGAAACCACTTCATAATAGTCTGGTTGATTTCTGTTATAATTTAAATATCTTTTAATGACACCAATCCAAAGCATTTAAAAAGTTTAATTTCACAACAATTTGTGTAATATCTAACACAACAAGCAACAAATCTAATTAGAAATTCACCAAGGAACTCTCCCTCATTACTAGAGCTAAAAGGAAAAAGGAAAGCAAGGTGCAGCTGTGTTCTCTTTTCAAAATACATATTAATCATACAAAAAAATCTAAGTTAACATCAATGATCAATTTTATGTGCCAGATATCTAAGGGTAAATGTACCAGAATTAAACCTGTGCCAAGGGTTTCTTCTATGAAAATGACTTACATTTTATTTCCAAAGTAGTTCAAAACAAAATTCAAAGTTCTTTATAATAATTACACAATGAGCCAGGCGGTGGTGGCGCATGCCTTTAATCCCAGCACTTGGGAGGCAGAGGCAGGTAGATCTCTTTGAGTTCAAGACCAGCCTGGTCTACAAGAGCTAGTTCCAGGACAGCCTCCAAAGCCACAGAGAAACCATATCTCAAAAAAATAAAAAAATAAAACAAAACAAAACAAAATTACACAATGAACCAAGTGTTTGGCATACACTTTTAATCCCAGCACTTGGGAGGCTAAGACAGGTGGATCTCTGTGAGTTTGAGGTCAGCCTGGTCTACATAGTAAGCCCTGAGACAGCTGGAGCTACATAGTGAGACCCTGTATCAAACGAAACAAAAAAATTACAAAAAGGATTTTCTTTCCCCACTTAGTGACCACAGAATCTTTTTCTTGTCATGTGCTATATTACTTACTGTGCTTCACAATCAACTAATAAAGGTACAAAGGAGAAAGATGCTTATCAAACTTGGAGGGCCAGAAGCTACAGCCAAATACAATGTTATAGGAATTATAAACACAAAATTCAGATAGTGAGCTAGGGTTGTAACTACATGGCAGGGTGCTTGCCTAGCATGAGCATAGCCCTGGTTCAATCAACAATACCAAGGTGTGAGAAAAAAGATGGAAAAACCTAGAATAGTGATAGCAGTTATACCCTTAAATGGAGAGACAGAAAGGGACACAAAGGCAATTATAAGAAGTTTTAAGTTAATTTCTTGGGGTTCATGGATATTAATATTCTTTCTGGCTTTTTTCTAAAGTAGTACCACAAAGCAAGCAAACCTAAAAATGATCTGAGTGATTACTTTCTCAATTTCCCAATAGGGTTATTTAGTTCCCTTTTAGTTGTAAAACAAAAAAGTTAATAAAGTCAAAGAATGTCATGGTCATTAGGGTTTAATCTCTTTTGAGAACTTGGAAAACACCTTACAGTCATTCTCCCAGCATGTATATTTGCCTTTCTTTTGGTGGTGGTGGTGGGGGGGTTTGAGACAGGGTTTCTCTGTGTAGCTTTGGAGCCTATCCTGGCACTCGCTCTGGAGACCAGGCTGGTCTCGAACTCACAGAGATCCGCCTGCCTCTGCCTCCAGAGTGCTGGGATTAAAGGCGTGTGCCACCACCACCCGGCCAATATTTGCCTTTTTTAAATGTTTAACTATGTCATAAAAGTTATAAGAACATGAATCAGCAAGGTGTTAAACAGGTGAAGGATGCTTGCTCCTAAGCCTGACAACCTGAGTACAGTCCCCGGAAGAAAAATCAGCTCCTCCAAGTTGTTCTCTAACCTCCAAACATGTACACTTGAGTGAATGTATGCACAAAATACATAAATGCAAAAAATTATATTTTTAATTTTAAGAACAACCTAAGGAACTTATTTTTCAAACTAGTAAACTGGCATATCTTTGAGTGCTTATTTCCTATAACCAAGGGACTACTCTCAAAACTAGGAAACAAACTTTGATGCATAATCAGCTTATCTGTTGGCCCTATTTATATTCTGTCAGCTACTTCAAATTTGTCCTTACAGAAAAAAAAAAAAAAAATCAAGCAAGAGTCCTGTTTTAATTTTATTTTCCTTCATTCTAAATAGTTATTCAGACTTTCCTTGATATTCATATATTTTTAAAGATTACAAACTAGTTATTTTCTTTCTTTTTTTTTAAGATTTGTTTATTTATTATATATACATTCTGCTTCCATGTATATCTGCACACCAGAAGAGGGCACCAGATCTCATAAAGGATGGTTGTGAGCCACCATGTGGTTGCTGGGAATTGAACTCAGGACCTCTGGAAGAGCATTTGGTGCTCTTAACCTCTGAGCCATCTCTCCAGCTCCAGACTAGTTATTTTCTAAAACATTACTCAATTGGAGTGTTTCTTCAGATTACTGTTGAAAATTTAGCCATGTTCTTTATAGGACAGCATGAAGCAGAGGTTATGTGGCAGTAGCTCACTCTACCTTACCTAATGGCACATGGTTTTGTCTTGTGCTATACTCTGATAAGGTTTCCTTTGATCATGGCTGTGTCTGCTAGGCTTCTCTACTGTTTCATTTGTACTTTATGAGGAGATACCTTCAGAAATCCCATCTCTTATCATACTTTTAACTTATCATTTTCAGATGGATTCCTGAGCTCCTACAATAGGAAATGGGTTGAAGACTATTATGACAACAACAACAACTATTAATTTTGAGACAGGGTCTCAACTATTTAGCCCTGGGTCCTGAATCTCACTATATAGTCCAAGCTGACCTAGAACTTGCCATGTAGTTCAAGTAGGCACCCCAATCATGATCTACCTGCCCCAGTCTCCTGAATGATAGGAATATAAGGACCGCCACAGTCAGCTAGCAGTATTTATTTCCTATGATCTTCTAACATGTCATAATCTTCCATGTACTTATTCCCTGGCACCATACAATTCTCCAGTATCATCCCTGCCCCTGCTCTGAAAATTAGGTATTTCTTTAAGAAATTCAGATACCTTCCAATGCTAAGTAGCATTGAAAAAATGAGATGTAAGTGCTATATGTGCTCATTTCTACTGGGGTGTTGCTAATTTCATGCTGTCTCAATGGAAAGAACTAAGGAATATAGATATGCTTATAAATAAATATACTTGTAAATAGCTCTGAACCTACATTATTAGAAACTATGAATCCTGCCAGGTGGTGATAATGTATGCCTTTAATTCCAGTCCTTAGGAGCACGGACAAATGGATCTCTGTGAGTTTGAGGACTACCTGGTCTACAAAGTGAGTTCTAGGATAGTCAGGGCTGTTACACAGAGAACCCCTATCTTGTGGAAGGAAAGAAGGGAAGGAGGGAGGGAGGGAGGGAGGAAGGGAGAATCCCTAATCCAACAATGGGTCATTCCAACTACATGGCTCATTCCAGTTTTCTTTCTCTACTCATATTCCCCTTCTCAAGTATTGAGAAATCCACTCAATATACTTACATATACGACTGCTCTCTTGTACATAATAAATTCTTACTGCTGTCCTACCTCCAACCCACAAAGCTCTCACCCTGATTAGACCTGGGACTCCATCTGTGCTGGGCTACACACCCTGTGGACACCTTCCTTATACCTCATTCAGCTTCCACATGACAGACCACTACTAGTACTCCTCTCCCAAACATGGTTATTTTCATTCTTCTTCCACTTAAGTTCAACATCCTGTGTTAGGAAAGCTCCAACACAAAACTCCTGTATAGTTCCATCTCTTGTCTTCCCCATAGTACCTACTTTGTTCAACTTTACCTAGTGGCTTCTGAACTTAATGAATTGTTAAGGATGAGAATTAAATTTAGCTTCCAGAGACTCATATCAAGTACTTTTGATTTTAATAAAGTATGAAATAAAATGCTGGGACTGGAGAGATAGTTCAGCAGTTAAAAGTGCTTCCAGCTCTTCTAGAGGAACACTTTAGTTACCAGCATTCATGTCAGGTGGCTTATATCCATGGGTAACAATGAAGGTCCATTTTGACCTAATATTGATACAGTGGCTGGTATTGAAGGACTTTCTCAGAATAAACATTAAGACCTTGATAATTGGATATCCAATATGGCTCTCTTCATTTGGGCCAACAGTTTATTCTTTCTTGCTAATGTTGGACCAAAATAGCCTTTCATGCTTGTAGGTAGACAATATCTGTAAACAACTGAGAATTCATTAAGGACATGTACCTAAAGAGGTAAGCAAGAAAGTGCTTCACAAACAATTTTAGAATTACCACACTGACAAAAAAGGGAAAAAAAAAAAAAAAGGATCAAAACAGGGATGTTTTACTTTCAAAATGCATAGCCTTACATAGATTTTCACTAAAATCAAACATATACAATACTATAAAAGGGTTGGAAATATGGCTCAGGCTTAAAAGTATTTGCTTAGCATGTACAAAGCCCTAGGCAGTACTGCAAAAACAGCAAAATAAAACGTATGATCCAAACTCAATAACACAGTGTTTTTATAAGCTCATCCAAACTTTTCTCCCCAGGCATATGCAAACAAAATTTAACACAAATAGTCCCGTGTAGTGCACATTCTTTTGTAACAACTTTTCTCCTTTTGATAATATGTAAGGGCACCTTGACGTATGACCACAAAGAACAGACAAGGACCAATTAATATTTAAACCAGAACATTAAGAAACACTAACCTTGATGTGTAGGGCCTGCTAACTACTACAAAGCCACTCTCCCTTCGAGGATAATGGCATTTGAATCTACAGACCATATTTCCCAATCTTACTACAGTTACTTTCCAGCCAACACAAAAGCTAAGGTGTGCCATGCTCAGCTCACATCCACAATGCAGCTTCTTTTCCCTGCCATCCGAGGGTAGTTATAGAGAATCACCTTGGATCATGATGATACCCCAAAGACAGAAGAACAGGGACACACAGGACTTGGTCCCTGAAGACTTTGCACAGCAGGTCTTCTAATACAAAAGAAATTTCTCTTTTGTTTCAGCCATTGTCACAAGCAATCAAACCTTAATACAGTCTAAAGTTACCAAAATACAGTCTCAAAAAGAGATTCACAGACAGGTGTGGTGGTGGCTCCTATCTGTAATCCCAGCACTCAGGAGGCTGAGGCATGAAACCTTGTTGAAACATGTATTTTACAGAGTTGTTTAGGCATAGGGCTGACAGCTTCAAAACTACAAGGTAACAGTGCTCCAGCTTCTACAGTCTGCATCTGCACTTCTCAGTACCAGTGGGCTGATAGAAGGCAGCAAGCAGAGGGGCATACATTTTTCTTTAATGTTTTATTTTTAATGATGTGTACATGTATCCGAGTGGGTTTGTACATGTGAATTCAGTCCCCATGGAGGAAGTCAGATCCCCCTGGAACTGAAGTTCCAGGGGCTCTGAGCTGCCAGACATGGGCCCTCTGAAAAGCAGTATACTTTCTTAATCCCTGAACTACCTCCCTAGATCCCAGGTCATACTTTTTCTATAAGGGTTTTTTGTTTGTTTTTGATCTTTCGAGACAGGGTTTCTCTGTGGCTTTGGAGGCTGTCCTGGATCTAGCTCTTGTAAACCAGGCTGGTCTCAAACTCAAAAACATCTGCCTGCCTCTGTCTCCTGAGTGCCGGGATTCAAGGTGTGTGCCACCACCGCCTGGCAAAGATTTTATTGTATTTATATTTTATGTATATGAATGCTCTGCATGTACACCTGCAGGCTAGAAGAAGGCATCAGATCCTATTACAGATGGTTTTGAGCCAAAATGTGGTTGCTGGGAATTAAACTCAGGACTTCTGGAAGAGCAGTCAGTGTTCTTAACGTCTGAGCCATCTCTCCAGCCCCATACTTTTTCTATAAAGGGTTTTATGTACACCAACTCAAAATTCCTTTATGTAACATAATGGTTAGGAACACAGGTGTCACAGAATAACATGAGTTTGGACTCTGATTATCTCTTAGAACTTGTGGAAGTTCCTATCTGTAAACTGTGGTATCAGTTTCTAAAAAGCACTATGTAACATGTATAGAGAATGCATGGCACTCAGGCAAGCAAAATGTCTCAGTGGTAAAGGCACTTGCCACCAAGCCTAACAACCCAAGTTTAATCCTTGGGACCCACGGGGTAGAAGGCAAAATATCAATTAACACAACTTCTCCATATGCACATATTGCATACACACATGCACACAAATAATATGCAATATCTTGATGAATAAGACGGAAATTAAGATAGAATAAAAGACTAAACTGAATCCCAGACTTAAACCGTTCCTTGTGAAGGAAAACTCAATAACCAAACACTTTACTGTAGACCCTGTGTCAAATCCTCCAACTGTATGTAAGTGTTCCCAACTCACCTCCGCTTTGGTGCCCTAATGAACAGCTCACAGAGGAGTCTGCCCTGCTCATCCTTATAGTCTCTGATGGTGTTATAGAGTTCATGGCACACAGCAATCTACACAAAGGAAGAAAAGAAAAAAAAAAAATCATCAAAATCCAATGAAGGCCTAAGGATTATCAACAATTCTTAAAAAAACAAAACAAAACAACAAAAAAATCTCCATAAAAGAAAAACAGGGAAGAAAAAGGAAAACCCTCCAATTATCCAATGGGATCCCAAGTCTGAAATATGGTTAAAGGACATATTCTTTAAAATATTGTTTGAGAGGCAGAAGATAGCTCTACTTTAAGGCCAACCTGGTCTACATAGTCTATATAGTAAGACCCTGTCCCAAAACACCAAAATAAATACATGAATAAACAGAAACCACCTCCATTTCCTAGTACTAAGATCATAGGCATGCATCATCACCATGACTGACTATGATTTTCTTTTAAATTAAATCAGCTCATTGGTTCATACCATTTTCCTGTTTAAAAATAATCCAACTTAATAACACAAGGTCTGAGCCGGGCGTTGGTGGCACACGCCTTTAATCCCAGCACTCGGGAGGCAGAGGCAGGCGGATCTCTGTGAGTTCGAGGCTAGCCTGGTCTCCAGAGCGAGTGCCAGGATAGGCTCCCACTAAACATAAAAAAGAAAAACCATGTTTAAAAAAAAAAAAAAAAAAAAAAAAAAAAAAAAACCTCAAGGTCTACAGGATCTGACACCTTCTTCTGGCCTCAAGGACACTGCATAGACACACTGCCTTTATATACACTCAGGCAAAAAAATCATACTCATAAAATAATGAAAATCATTTCTAAAAAGTCATCTAAGCTGGGGACAGGGACACACAACTTTAATTCTAGCACTCAAGAGTCTAAGGCAGGAATTCGTTTATATTCATTTGTTTATATTACACACTGAACTCAATGCTCCATGTGAAAATAGAGCTAGCCTCACATAACCATATCTCAATTACCTCAACAGTGCTCACCACATGACAGGCACATAGTTTTTTGTTGAATGAATATATAACATGAAACCCTGATATTTCCATTTCAAAATATTAAATTACATTTTAGAAGCATGGGATTTAGTTAAATAAGGGTAAATTTTATTCAGGGAGAAGTCACTTACATATCCCATACCCAAGCTGCTTTCAGTGACCCTACCCAGAACCAAGAGACAGCGAGCTCGGGTCCGGGACTCAGACCTACCCCCCCATCTGAACCTGTGACCACGCCTAAATGGGTGTGGTCAATGCAACACGTGCAGGCGGAGTGGGATATCTTATTACATTACACTATTACTGTTAAGACTTATGGCTACGCAGGGACACCTGACCTGAACAAGGGGTTACTCATGGACCCCAGACTGATAGCTGGGAAACCAGCATAGGACTGTTCCAGACCCCTTGAGCGAGGATGTCAGTTTGGAGGTCTGGGCAATCTGTGGGGCCTCTGGTAGTGGATCAGTATTCATCCCTAGTACACCAATGGACTTTGGGAGCCCTCTCCACATGGAGGGATACTCTCTCAGCCTAGACACATGGGGGAGGGCCTAGGCCCTGCTCCTAATGATATGACAGACTTTGAAGACCCCCCTCTTGGAAGGGGTTGGGATTGGGAGGGGGGAAGTGAAGGGAGGGAGAGGGAACTGGGATTGACATGTAAAAGAAGCTTGTTTCTATAAAACAAAAAAAAAATTAAAAAAGAAGACTTGTGACTAAGTATACTTTTCATAAGAGAAATAAACCAAATGGAAAAGAAAGCTATGCAGCTCAACTGCTTCAAAGAAGGAAGTATAGGCAAACCATGGGAAATGGCAGAAACCACGAAGCCTTAGTTACTCACAGGATCCACAGTTGGAAGATTAGACAGTCTTCTCCTTTTCCTGCTTGGGCCTGGTGTAGGCACAGAATGGTGCCCATCGTCAAAGTCTCCACTGACACTGCTGGAAGGGGAGGTAGCTCTTCTTCTCTTGGAACCCATGGAATCCAACTTCTTCTACAAGAAACAATTAGCCAAGTGCTTATGTTTAATCTTCAACAATGTCAACAAACTCTCAGCTAGGTATATACCATGAAACTTCTGGTTCATTTAAGATAGTTTATTCCAGAGGGATTTAACTAGCTCTACATTCTTTTGCTAAGTCCTGGACTTCAATGCAATTAGCCTTTTAATTATCAGAGTGCTACATTATCAAACTCTGATAGGACAAATTTGGCGTAAGTATACACATTTATATGTCAATAATTCTAAATTACTCAACCACTTTTTGCCCCAGATTTCCTGGAATGGGGCTTCCTTTTTTTTTATTTTCCTTTTTTTATTTTTGATGTATATGTGTGTTATGTATCTGTGTATCACATGTGTGCCTGATGCCAGAGGCCATCAGATGTGCAACTGGTTGTGAGCTGCCAAGAAGGTGCTGGGAAATTAACCTAGATCCTCAGGAAGAGCAGCCAGCATTCTTAACCACTGAGCCATCTCTCCAGTCCCCTGTATTTCTTATAATTATACCCATTACCTAAGTGGGCCATAGTGTGGAAAACAAAACTAAGAAGCAGTACCTAAGGCCAGTCAAACGGGGTGATGCAAAAGGGGGTGAAGCAGTAAACTTTCCAGCACTGTACAAGTATCCTAGAAATGAATTCTCCACTTAAAGCAGAATTCATAAAAAATACCCCTGTGATGGGGAGGGAGAGGGAACTGGGTATGACATGTAAAACAATCTTGTTTCTAATTTAAATTTAAAAATGGAGGAAAAAAATACCCCTGTGAATGTAATTTTTGCTATATCTGGAGAGAACTAGCAATTTGTGCTCTGTCCCAATGTACACTATACTCACAGACTGTGAAAACAGTTTTAAGCTTCACTAGATGATCTAGAAGAACATGTTATATATATGGGCTCTTAGCTACTGTGTGGACATTTGGAAAGCACATAAACATTTGCTCTTGGCTTTAGGCTGACAATGGTTTTTGTTAGCTGGCTTTTGGTATTTCTTACTGTTCTTTGCAGTACTAGGGACTTAATGTAGGCCTCACACATGATAAGAAAGCCATCTCTAATCCAGAAAAAATGAGAAATGGGTGTGTGTGCACTCACCATAGGTTAATATCAGATGTCTTCCTTTAACACTGTCCATTTTTCTTTGAAAAAGTGCTGTTCATTAAACTTGGAGAATGCCTGATCAGTGAGTGCCTGAGACCTACCTGTCTCTGCCCCTCCAGTGAGGGGCTATGGACACTACCACCACACATGACTTTTAGGTATGTGCTAGGGATCTAAATGCAGGTCCTCACGTTTGTACTTTACCCACTAAGATATCTCCCTAGCCCTCATAAGACGCTATTCTTTGCTGGGCATGGTGGTGCATGCCTTTAATCCCAGCACTTGAGAAGCAAGGTAGAAGCCGACAGATCTCTGTGAGCTCAAGGCCAGCCTTGGATATTGAGTTGTAGGCCAGCTAGGGCTACATAGTGTCTCAAATAAAAAAAGAAAAGAAACTATTCTTAACATAACTTTACAATATACACATTTGGCTATAATGTAAGAAATGCAACCACTGGAATAACTTACTACAGTTAAAGGGTATAGACCCAGGAAGTCCTACAATGGTTATATACTTTAACAGCAGTAGCAAATGGTGCACTGTAATTACAAAGAACTTTTCTAAAGCTAAAAGTTACAGCAGACCCAGTTTCACTCAACATTTGATTTCAGGAAATTCAGACACTAGCAGCTAAACAAAAAAGAATAGTAGAGCACTGGGTGCCAGTACTACAGAGAGAAAAATTGGGGACCTCCAGGAAACAGAAAGTAAGAACAAAACAAAACAAAAAACTCCCTTAAGCAATTAAAAAACAAAAGGGTCTCCTATCTGTTGCTTTGAGCTAAAGTCCACATACTGTTTAAAACAATCTACAGTGATCATGTTCCATCCTGTAGGCTTTGGTTTGTTACCAAGAATATTAGTTTGAAATTGACTAAAAGTGGTTAAAAGTTTTTACAAAGTTGGGCCCCAAATACCCAGGTTCTGTTGTTGTTTACTTTATAAAAGACTGACACCTGGCCACAACTCCACAAGTTAATGAAATTAAGCACTAATCCTTGGAAACACTGATAAACACAGGAGGGATTCAGATAGGAAGAATTACAAAACTTCAGAAGGTTGGAAGGGAGAGGGAGAGAATGACAGAAAGAGAAAAGGGTGAAGATGATCAGTAATTTACCAGCTTTACCAGAGCACAACCAGCGCCTCGAAAAGCCAATCTCCTCATTATGTCTGAAGGCCAAATGAAGCCAGTGAGAGAAGGTAGGGTTTTATTAAGTGCTTATTCAGTTAGTTTATTCAGAACTGAAAGAGAAGAACAAGGCAGAGAAAGGGGAAATAAGAGTATAAATGAGTACAAACAGACAGAAAACGTAACATTCGAATAGAGTTGCTAAAGAAAAAGAAACAGACATATCAGTTCCCAGGTGCACCTGACAAGTTTCTTCCATTTAAAAACCAAATGCTTTCACATGCTTAGAAATGTCTCACTGAGTTTCACCTTTACTCACATGAAATGACTGTCAATTCCAGGAATGAAGCATGCCTGCCCAAGTGCCCCCTAGTCAATAAGAGCAGAGTTCAATCACAGAGCTGGGATGGAGAGTGAACACATGTGGGAGGCTCACATGTGACCCCAAGTGTTGGCAAGCTGGAATAGACCAAGAATGGCTCATGAGAGCAAACTCTACAAATTCTTCCTCCCTCCCCCCAAGAGTCAGAGAAAAACATTTCTTTCCAAAAGTTCTATCTGCACTGGAAAGACACAACATTTAAGTTTATCAGGGCTTTACAAAGTCTTCAATTACTTTAGTTCAAAATTACTGCTTTTTATAATGCACTGGAAAGCAAATGACAAAAAATGTAAATTATTAATACTTAGTATGTTGTAGTTTTAGATGATATAATAGCCAAAATCCTTAAATCATTAATGCACTTTCAAAAGACAAGAAAAAGATGCATGGGAAGGATGGTTTTCAAATTTTCTTATTCAAAGTATACATTTCTTATTCAAAGTATACATGCAGTGTGGAAGAAATAATGGATCTGCATTCAAGAGTCCCAGACCTTCCACCTCTAACAGTTTGATACTATCCAAATCACAACTTCTCAGATCTATTTCTTCATCTTTAAATAAAAACAAGGACCGGGTAAATAGCTAAGTCGGAAGAGCGGTTGCTTAGCAGGTGGGAGGCCCAATGTTCAATCCCCAGCACCACATGGAATTGGGCATGGTGGAGTACACATGTAATACAAGCACTGAGGAAGCAGAAGCATAAGAAGTTCAAGGTCATCTCAAAACAAAACAAACAAAAAAAGAAAACAGTAAAGCGCACCTACACCCTTTGACAGTGAAGAAAAGACATAGATTAAATACTTTGAAATTTCTTGAGTTTCCTAGGCACAAGAACTGAGTCCTCTTTATTTTTGTAGCCCCATCCTATAAAAGTGCTGGAAACAAAATAAATGTACTGAAAATGTGTGAGATGTTTAAAGCAAAAGTTTGTGTTATTTAAAAACAGTCTCTAAGCATCACTTCATTATTTATTTATAAGCAGAAAATAAAAAATTCTAGAGTTTGCTTCTAGATGTTAAGATGGCCTTATTTACAGTAAAAAATCCAAGAGTCTTACAATGCCTGTGGACGCTTCCAGTGAACAATAAATACTTGAGCAGTCTGGGGAAATAGCAAAGTCAAAGTGCCTGTCATGCAAGCACGAGGGCCCAAGTTCAGATTACCAGCACCCACATGTAAATTAGGAACAGCTGTCAGGACCTGTGACCCCAGCACTGAGAGAATGTGAGAGGAGTAAAGACAGGAGGATCACTAGGTTTTGCTGACAGCTAGCCAAATCAGCAGGCTCCAGGTCTAATGAGAGACCCTGTCTTAAAAATTAAGCCCTGGAGAAATGGCTCAGAGGTTAAGAGCATTGGCTAATCTTCTAGAGGACTTGGATTAGATTTCTAGTGCCTACATGAGAGCTATAGCCATCCAGTTCCAGGGGACCCTCTTCTAGTTTCTTCAGGCACCAGGCACACACATGGTGCACAGACATACATGGAGGCATAAAATAAAAATGAATAGACCTCAACATAAAAAAAAGTGGAAAGCAAGCCAGGTGGTGGTATTGCACACCTTTGATCCCAGCATTCAGGAGATAGAGACAAGTGGATCTCTGTGAGTTCAAGACCAGCCTGGTCTACAAGAGCTAGTTCCAGGACAGCCTCCAAAGCCACAGAAAAACCCTGTCTTGAAAAAAAAAAAAAATAAAAAAAAAAAAAGGAAAGCAATAGAGGAAGACAATGCCAGGACTTCTAGCCACTATCTATAAACACATCCACACATATACAAAATAAATTTAAAAAGAGTACTTAAAAATGTGTAACTGTGCAAGTAGCTAGTATAGCCAAATATCTGACAACTTACTACCTTTTAGTATTCTGGATTTTTAGTAATACTTAGTATTATAATAAACACACTTAAAACAAAAAGATCTTGGTTAAGAAGATGACTCAAAAACCAGAATAAGCAAGTAATTATAATCATACTTCCTACAGGAAACCACCCTGTAGTGTCATTCAAGCCTTTAATATTTATGCCTCAGTTTTCTTTTGTTGGTTTCTTTCTTTCTTTGCAACAGGGTTTCATACATTCCTAACAAATGTTGAACTCAGGACCCTAATGTCTTCGACTCCTGCCTCAGCATGCTAAATGCTCGGATTACAATCAGATGCCACCATGCCCAATTTTATGCAGTTGAGGAACTGAACCTAGTGCTTCACACATATACCAGACAAGCATCCTACCAACTGAACTCCAACCCAACCCAACTATCTTTTCCATAAACAAAGTAATAAAAACCATATATTCTGCAACTGTGTTCTAACTTACAGAAGGTTACCAAGTCAGCATTCTTCATGATGTTTGATGTCCTAATAATGGTCTATTGTACAGATATATAATTTACTTATCTTGGGAAGTTTGGCAAAGCACTATTATTTGAGCTATGTTTTATACTCTAATGTAAAAGTCGTCAATTCTTCCATTCCCACTGGTGCCTTTACATATACACATTTGTTTTGATCCCAAACATTTCTTCAAAATACACTATTCCTCACTCCCCTTACTGTCCAGTAGTGGCACATGCCTGTAAGCGCAGCATTCAAGAGGAGGAGGCAGGAGAACATAAGCCTAAAGTCAACCTGGCAACAAAATAAGGTCAGGTTAAAGATAAAAGAGGATACTTTCTAATCTTTCATTGGGGATCTTAAAAACTACTAAAGCAAAAGCTATATTCTTTAATCTCTATACCAAATCAAACATGCTTCTGAATTATATTTGGGAAAGGGACTACTAAATGAGGGGAGAAAGATACTTCGAACCACTTTTTTTTTCTGGTCTCACTATGTAACCTAAGCTGGACTGAAACTTGCCATCCTCCTGCCTCGACCTCCTAAGGGCTGGAACAACATGTGTATTCTACTGTGCCTGGCTGTAAAGTCATTTTTGAGAAGTTTAGATTAAGATGGCTTGAACCAACATACACTTCTACATTTATTCCTAGAATCTCTATATCCACTCTATTGTGTATTTGTCATTTGTTTTCCAGGAATTTTGTACTTTTACCTCCTCTTTCAAATCAGAATTATTTTCTTTTAATAGCAAGACACTTCTTTTTCAGAAAGTAAAAAACTTTGAGGCGGAAAATACTTTTAAAACCAGAAAATACAGTTTAAAAATCCCCGATTCGTCGTGACGTTGTAGATGAGAAGCTGAAGTACCAAACATCTAAATAAATGTCTCACCGACGAAAATATTCAGTTTGGGCAATCACACGGAAAGAGAATTAAACAAAACAAAACAAAACACAATAAAAAAACCAAAAACTCATTAGGGAGAGTTTTTGCCAAACGCACAAGACACAAAAAAAAGGAGGCCTTGAGAGGCGGAGGAAAAGAAGTTTGCCCGACCTGTCACTGGTTCTGGGGGCTAAAGGAAACGTTGACAGCTTTGAAGCCGCCCGGCGACGGGCGGGAAAGAGCAGCGCGGGGAGTTTCGG